CCCCCCTGGAAACGGAGAACTCGTCAACGTATCGCGCAGGGGAACGACATATATATATATAATAATATAAATATAAATTTATCTCTCTCTAATCTCGAACGAATTGAGTTGCGATCCTAGCGCGCTGTCGCCGTCGCGCGTGACTGTAACATTTTATATTGTACACGTAATTAAACGAAGGACACGTCACACACGGAAAAAAAAGGAAAAAAAATGATAGTTATAGACAAATCGCCGACTGAGAGAAATAATGCGTCTGCGTGGTGCACGCAGGTACGCGTATATCCCTCTTGCGTTTCTTCCGCTCCCTTATATATATCTCTCTTTATCTCCCTTTCGATTTATTTATTTTATTTATCTCTCTTTCGTGTTCTCTCCTCGCGTTCCGCGTTCATCCCCGCGTCTTTGGGAGGGGCGGGGGGGGGGGAATGAGAACGGGAATGGAAAACGAGGGTGGACGGGGGGGAGCTCTCTCTTTGCGTATATCCGGCATATAGCGTCTCTAATCTCGTTGTATTTATTAACGGCGTCCTAATTATTAATTTATTGTTTGATCCCCGATACGTTTAATTGCCGAGCGGAAATGAGAGTCTATAGCAACTAATCTTCCAAAGAATTTAGGAAATCGAATACGCGAGCGCGTATTATGTTAAATGTGATGTGATCCGATGGCTCGCCTTTACCCACAGCCTCCGCGATATACAGAAACCGAGAAGGTTCGATCGAAAAGTCAACAATCGCTGCCGTGTTGCTCGTTACAAAGAGGTGTATGCGCAAAAATAAAGGCCTGCACTTTTTATGAAAAAAAAAAAAAGAGAAAAAAACCGCTGTCTTGACCCCCCGACCTGTCACTCCCACCCTAAAGATCTCCGCGGCGATTTTTCGCGTGCGACGAAAGGATTAAAAAAAAGTAAACATGTTAAGGTTGTAACGTTGTTATAAAAATTGTAAGGAAAAAAAAATACGACAACGTGTTTGCGGCGACGTGAGATAACACCGAGAGAATGATTGCTGATACGCGCGCTGACCGAGAGGGGAGCGGAGACGGTGGACGTCTCGACCCGCGGGGTCGTCCCGTCTCTTTCGTCCTCTTCTGTTTATCGTTCTTGCCTGTTCTCGACGAAGAAGAATCCGAGACAGTGGTTCGCGTAGTGCTGTCGCCGAAGTGTTGAAGTCGATGAGGCGTGCGGACCGCGCGGCCAGCATGACCCTGCGGGGGTACAGGAGGGACTCGGACGTCGTCCTGTCCAACTTCGGACACAAGGAACACCTCTTCAAGTTCCTCGTCATCGGCGATTACGGTGTCGGTGAGATTCGCGGCGAGATTTCCGATTCGATGAACCGATCGATATTACATTCAAATCGCGCAGAAATATATAAATTTTCCTTACGATAAGATAGATGAATTCTCGATAATATTTATCTCCTTCTCGAGTTTTATTAATCGTTCAGACGCTAATATCGTAATGAATTATAACGCCCGAGCGTAAAAACAAATTGTAAACCAAGTCCTTTGTGAAATTTCTGGTGTCTATCCTCTTGCACAGTTCTCTCGTGGAATTTAACACATAAAATCTTGAATACAGGAAGAAATAAGTCATGAAATTTACAATTTTTATTTAGATTTTTACAGAGAAATTATTTATTCTAGGCAAAACTGCGCTGGTCAGAAGATACACGGAAGGTAATTTGTTGCAATCTCTCGCCCGGATTATCGGAGTTAATTGACGAGCCTCGCGCAGAATCGTTCCGCATTCCCGAAAGCCTTAAACCGTCACGTGCGTTTAGTCGTGATCATAGACGGAGAGGATACGTTGCGGGAGCGTTGCTTTCATACAGAAAAGAGAAAAGGGAAAGAGGAAAATGTGCGCGCGAGCCGGCTTATCCGTCTTAATGATATACGTCAAACCGCCGCAGCTGCGATATGACGCTACTGCTAATCCGGTGACCGTCTCACCGGCCGCACACTCTCGAAACTGTCTTTTCCAGGGAAGTTCTCCTCGAATTACAAGATTACCATAGGCGCCGATTTTGCGATAAAAACGCTCGATTGGGATCCGCAAACTAAAATAAACTTGCAGCTATGGTACTTGTTTAGACGCATATAATTAATTCTATTGCTTGCTATCTCGTATGTCCACTCCGAGGAGCTCGTGCATGCATTTTGCGCTGCCCCTCGGAATTATTCTTAATATATCGCAGGATATATATATGTATATAAATTATGGGACGGTGACGACAGTTTAATTCTGGGTATTTCAGGGACATCGCCGGTCACGAGAGATTCGGATACATGACGAGGGTCTACTATAAATACGCGTAAATATCACCTTTATTGTGTACCTCTTGTATCCCCGATCGAACTTTGTTTCCCCTGTATTGAATACATCTATAAATATTATCATAAATAGACACATTTTGCTCCAACATAATGGTATGCCTCGTAGAGATAAAGCTTATAGATCATATCCCTTGACTGATCAATCGAAAAATCTTAATTGATGTTTTTTTTTAAATTTATTATAACTTTTTGTTCCTTTTTTTAATTTACCGATCCCTCGCGTTCATCGGTTTGACCTGCACGTATAGGGTGGCTGCGGCTCTCGTGTTCGACATCTCACGCGCGGCGACCTTCCAGTCGATGAAGAAGTGGCTGAACGACCTCAGGGAGAAGGTCACGCTGCCGGACGGCACGGGCATTCCGGTCGTGCTCCTGGCGAACAAGTGCGACATATCGGTCGCCGTGACCGACGAGCAGATCTCGAAGTTCTGCAGGGAGAACAAGATACACGCCTGGTACGCGACTTCCGCGAAGAACAACACCAACGTCGGTAGGTGGGCGATCAGCTTGTCTCTCCCCATCATCTGACCCGTAAATTCATATCCCTCAAAAGCTCTTGCTGTATACAAATATTTATTAATATTTAGAAGGTAATAATTAGTACTTCTAATTGTTATAAATATTAAAGGAGATACGGTATTAATACTTCTAATCAAGAGTGTCCGCAGGAATTTTTCTAGAGGGGTGCATGATCCAAATTTTCAATTTACGAACTACCACGAGGAGTAAATAAATGTCCGAACGTTGTGTACCTGTGTTGTACTTTAGCTCTTTCACATTTAACAAACGTATTTATTTTTTTAAATGAGAAGTAAAAATAAGAGAGCAAATTCTAAATTTTTTTGTACTCGTCTGATTCCAGAGGGGTACAAATACCCTTTTTGCCCTTCCCATCCCCCGTCCCTGCGGACGCCCTTGCTTCTAATTGTTATTGATATTAAAAGAGATATGGATTTAAGAGAGAGAAGGAAAGGAATTTCCGTAGAAGAAACGTTACCCCTCAATTGCGCGTCGTCGCGCATTTATTTTCCATTGCGTCGCCGTTGCGATATGAGTTCTTAAAGTCAGTATACGTAATATCGTCAGTATACGTAATATCGTCGTATACGTCAGTGTACGTAAATATCGAGATCATTGCATTGCTGATAAACAAGTGCAGTGTACAACGCGTTTTTTACACGTTAGCTCCTTTCGGAAATTGCATGATCGCGGAGGCGATATTCAATCCACTGTTATCCCTCACTCGACGCCAGATAACAGAGTGTGCCGAGAACTGATTGCACGCTATTGCTGAATTTGCAGATGCGGCAATACGCTATTTGGTGGACAAGGTGCTGAGCTCGAGAATCGACAACGGTATACGGGACTCGATCCGATTACGACGCGAGAGCACGTCGAGCCGCGAGAAATTATCTAGCTGCTGCAAATAAAGCGACATGCATACCCTGTGAAGAACAATCGTCTTACAAATAGAAAATTATAGAGAGCACACGTCGATCAACGTGAATGGAACGCGCATCGAACAAGATAATCGCGAGATGATCGGATACGATGGCCGTATGACGGTAAAACAAAGCTACGAAAAAAATTTATATCGTTGAAAGATTTACACGTATACATTATAATTGTCATTAGTGGCACCACATTTGTTTTACGCGATAACCGTCGCCGTTATCATTTATTGACCGCGCGTCGCAGTGGTCTCTTTGTAAATTTACATAATAAATTACCCACAAGAAAATAACTTATGACTTATTATGGTTGTCCCTTTAAAAATCTACAGTAATAATTTTTATGAAGAGTCAACAAAACACGAATTTTCCGAAATGCCACAGAAATTAAAGATAAGCCGTAATCATTTATCGGTTATCCAATAGTAATGTTTCTTTTATATCTATAAATTTACATGTATAATAAATTATACGTAAAAAATAATCATGATGACTTATCGTAGTTGTCGCTTTAATCAAATCTGAAATACTAATATTTGTTAGAAGAGTAACCGCGACAAATGGAAAGCGCTATTTTCGGCCGCGCTGATAATAATGTTCTAGCTTTATAATTCACACGTTATCGCTTTAATAAATTATGAGCATAATAAAAATACGAGGATGTATGTTATAATTTCTTTTTCAATTAAATTAATCTGAAATGACAATTTCTGTTAAAAGCAGTCCAAATAAATAATGTTCTAGTTTTTTCAAAATGTCAAACGCAGTGAAGGTGCGACATCTCGCAGGTACGTTATCTTTGTAAATTGCAAGTCTATGTATACACAAGCAAGTTCTACCCGCCGTAACGCTGATAATATTTTATCAGACATTTAAGTGGCATTTAAGCGTTTTAAAATATAGCGCCGAACACAGACAGATAATAAACCAGTTGAAGTTAGGTCGATTGGGAGGAATGTATAACGCGTCACAGCAGTTACGAGTTAACACAGAATTATTGTACATACATAACTTGTAGAGAGCAGATGTTGCTTGCATTTCTGTACCACTAGGCTAAGCCCAGAATGTGCGTTGAACTACATTCTTTCAATTCGTGAAGTGCAGCATATAGATATTAATTACTACTGAATTTTTTTATATTTATAACGGAAATAAAGAATAACAATGACTGACAGCTTTCTGGATAACGTGAATACTGGTAAGCGTGAATTAAGTAAGAAAATACGTAAATTAAGGTAAGCAAGTAAATAAATTAAAAATATTATAAGAAGCGAAATAATAAAGTTAAACGACGTGAAAAAAATTATTTGTTCTTTTCTGGATTAAATTAAATGGTTTTTTTAAACTATATATATACATATAAACAATTTAATCCAGAAGAGAACAAATTATTTTGTATATAATATAACATACATAATCTATATACATATATATATATATATATATATATATATGTACTAGATATGCATATATATTACACACACATACACACACAGATTTCAATATACGAAAAGTTTAAGATTAATGTAACATTTTGCGATGCTGCAGTGTTAGGAAGTAAACGATTGTCCGAGCTCGGGAAAACGCTAACGCACGAGCATCTGGCTCTCGATTTTCGCAAGTTTTACATACCTCCGCCGAAGCATCTTAAACATTTTCCTGAAAGCAGCCTGTCTCTTCAGGATGTCGGATACGTTTGGCAGTATCCGTAAGTGAAATTGGGAATGTTTTTCACGTCTCTTACAGTCCGCTTCGCGTATAAAATAAAAATTTTTGTACAATCGTTGTTTTTTTATCATCGTCGTAACTACACATTAATAAAGAAATGAATAAATTAATAAAAATTAAGTTAAAGATGATTATAGATATGGTTTAACTGTTTCACACATTAGATACAGCAGCTTATATAATTTGGAATTTTACGATGGCGACGCGGCGAAAGCAGTCTATAAAGATGTGGAATTGTTCAAAGAGGCCGGTGGCGGAACCATCGTGGAGAACAGTAGCCACGGTTTGAAACGCGATATTTCTCTGATGAAGAACGTCAGTCGGTCCATGGAAGTCAACGTGATCGCGGGAACTGGTATTCTACATATAATAAAATATATAATAATACTGCATATTATAATATATTATTACAATGATGTATAATTTAGAATAATAATACATTATTATTATACTATCATTATAATACATTATTGTAATACATTATTATTATTATTTGTTATATACATTTTCGTAACTTAACAGGCTATTACGTCGCCAGTACGCAAGACGCATCGACTCTCAATACAACCAAGGAAGAAATGTACAATCTGATGTGCAAAGAGTTGGAAGAGGGTTGCGTGGAGTGTCCCGATGTAAAGGCAGGATTTATCGGTGAAGTCGGCAGCACTTGGCCGATCGAAGGTATGCACGTAATCACTTGAACAAGCCGCCAGATATTATAATTTTTTATCATTATTATACTGTCGATTATTCGCGATCATATTCTATTCATTATGTTCATCAGCTATACTTGTAACTAAGATACATTTAATATTATATTAAAATTTTATATACACGTAAATTATATTAAATATTGTAAAATATTTGCATTAGATTTTGAAAAACGTGCAATTTGCGCGACTGCCGAGGTCCAAGCTCAGTTACGTTGCTCCGTGAGCTTTCATCCCGGAAGGAACGCATCCGCGCCCATGGAAATCATGAGGATCTATCAAGAAGCTGGCGGAGATGCGAGCAGGGCCATTATGTCTCACGTCGATCGTAAGAGCCACGAATTTTTATTTATTTATTTTTGTTCCATTTTTCATGTTTAACTATACCCGAATGTGTCGCTGTGATTAATTAAATATAATATGCTATAGGTACGTTGATAAAAAAGGAGCAGCTCATGGAATTTGCTGACGCTACTAAATGTTACATCCAGTTCGATCTGTTCGGTTCCGAATGCTCCTTCTATCAGCTAAATCCGTTGATCGACTGGCTGTCAGATGCGAAGCGCATCAAACGCATCGCGCTGCTCAAGGAAGAGAAAAAACTGGATCGAGTTCTCATGAGTCACGATATACACACCAAGCATCGGCTAGTACGTCTCTCTCTCTCTCTCATATTTTGCATTTTCCATGCAGTTTCAATAAATTAATATTTTCCTGATCCTAGCGATTGGACTAGCATTGTGAAAGCATTTTGACTTTTCAGATACACTTCGGCGGACACGGATACTCTCATATCGCTAACAACATCGTGCCAATTATGTTAAAAAGGAACTTCACGACGGAAGAGATCAAATTGATAACGGTTGAGAATCCGAAAAGATGGTTTACGCGAAATTAAATTTTGCGACACAGACTGCTCTGTCTTAAAAATTGATATTTTTACGAATAACGCTTTTCCATCTATGCGAGACTGCTCTGTCTTAAAAATTGATATTTTTACGAATAACGCTTCCATCTATTGTAGATTGATAAAACATTAATTATTTTATAATTATTTTTTCGTATTAAATAATCATTGCTAAAACGTTATTCTATAATTTGGTTTAATGAGAACAGGAATCTCTCTATACCGATTTAAATAAAGATGTAAAGATTCTCGAGATTCTGCTTCTTTTAACGATATTTGAAGTATGTTTTCAGATAAGAAATCAATTTTTGAACTGTTATGTGAGGGATTAATAGTTATATCGACAAAACATCGTGCTGACCATGTTATACTTTTATAAAAAAATATATTTGTTAAAAATTGAATATTGTAGTACACACAGGGCTCATCAATGTTAATTGCAAACAGATTTATAATCTCTCTAATTATATTTTCTTTCGCAAAGAATGAAACAACGCAATGAATTTTTATGAATATCATTTTTAATCTAATGTAAATTACTCTACAACAGTCTAATGTATACATTACTTCAACAGTCTATCTTTTTCCTATAATTCTCGTTTAAGAATTGTCGGAAATTTCGAATTATACTAATCATGTAAATAAAAGACGATAAAAAGTTTGTACTTTATTATAAAATACAATGACACTTGACATTCTTTGGTAAAGTTATTATTCGGCAGAAAGAATAACTTTTTGTCTGTTCCACGAATACTTCGAAATTAATAAACTTAATTAACGGTACATATTCGACATTTCTATTATTTCGCTCTTTAACGAATAAATAATTTATAAAGTATTCTATCTTCTATTGCTTCGCTCTTTAACGACAAAATAATTAGTGTTTTATCTTCTTATTGTATTAAAAAAGGTAAAAAAATTATGCAAACTGGCTCGATAACTATTACAAATATTATCAGTAACAACTTCTTTCTTCTTCTTCCATTTTCTCTTCTTTTCGTAAGACGAAAAACGTCTCTTCCCTTTTCGATTTTTTCTCGACGTCGGCTCTCAGAGCTCGTCCTGGATTTGCGAACCTCTCACAGGATTCATAGCGATAGAAACCGTCGATACCATCGTTTTGCTGAAGTCCTTCGAGTAATCTACACAGGAATAAGATACGATTGCATTTCGAAAATACTCACAGTTTTGCATAAAATGCACAAACAGACAATTTCCAGAAAGACGATAGCAAAGTACGTTATTTTTAAGATAAGCATAATTACAAACTTTAGTTTTGTAATAAAATAATATATGGTTTTGAAAAAAAGATATATATTTAAAGAACAATGAAATTGAGCGGACAAAGCTATTTTATGTAATAGTTTGTAACTTGTAAAAATCAGAAATGGAAAAAATACTCTTTCTTCTACATTTCAAAGTCCCGTAATTTTATTCTAAGTGTTAATATAATTTAATTTCATAATCATTAAAAGTTAATCGTTAAAAATTAATGATGAAGATTAGAACTGCATTTGAGCAAAATCAATCAATATTAAATTTAGCGAATTACGGTCAGAGAGAAACTTTGGTTAGCATACCTATTATTAATTATAACGATGATCGAAGGTGCGAAAGCGTCCGGCGACGAGCGCGACAATTTGAGGTCGTTTGTTCGTCGTGGAAGAATGAAATTAAGAACATGCCGAGCGTAGAAGAAAAAGAATCAGTGATTAGGGGTTGCGATTAATCGACATTAGCTGCACACATACTCGCAGGACTGCGAGCCACTCCAAGCGATACCAAAAAGTGACGATCGAAAGCAGCGAACTTGTGTGGTGCCCTTGACTTACAAAGTGAGGCGAGTGTTGTCGCTTAGCTCGCGCGCTCGGTCAGAGCTTGGTGAGCGTTACCGCGTGTCGTTGCTCGAAGTTACCTTGGGCGTAGTCATGCTGATGGGCCTGAAGACCGCCGGCACCCGGCGCACTGCTGCCGTACGGCGTTAAGCCCGCCCTTATCCACGAGCAACCGATCACGCCGGCGTACGCCTGTCGGTACTGCTTGTTCATGATCACGTAGATAATCGGATTCACGCACGACGCGAAGTACAGTAGCAGGTATCCCAGAATGTGACACTCTGAAATAATTTGACATGACAATTCGGCGTGTTAACGGCGATTAAATCAGGCGGTGGAACTTACAAGATCTCTATAGTAATTACCTACTATATAGAGATCGGCAAAAGCTTTTTCCGTAAATATTTTAGGCTTTGCGTGGGTCAAGAGATGTTACGCAATATTATTTATATTATATTCATGTGTCAGGAGGAAAAATAAATTTTTTTTACAAATTTCTTTCTGACAAAATTCAAAATGTACATGATAATAATTACGCAAATCGTAATTCTCGAGATGATCAAGAGAGAAAGAATGGTTGATATATATGAGACGAGGAATGATACCGATGAAAATGATTAGAATATAAAATGCGGTTTCGAAAGTCAAGTGCGCCATAACTATAATACCTATATTACTTACCGGGACATTTGACTTCCGCGTCGGCCACCTTGACAATGGTAATCGGTAAATAGCACGCGAGGAAGCTGAGGAAGATGGCCAGTACCATCTTCGTGATCCTCCATTCGCTGCGCTTCTGTTTGAGCTCCCTGATGTCCCTTCCGGGCGTATGAGGCGATTTTATCGTCGGTCCAGCGTGCTTTCGCATTCGCGATTCCGACCTGCAATGTTGATTAAATTTTAATTAATATACTAATCGAGGTCACAGTAAAAGGATTATTTATAAACGTGATAATCGGCGACAATTACTTGTGCACCACCCAAAATATCTTGGCGTAACAGCCGACGATCACTACACAGGGTATCAGGAATCCCATGACGAAGAGGAATGTCTTGGGAGTGCGACCGTGACGGTCCTTGATGATGGAGCAGGTCTCCAGATTTGGATCGTAGTCGAATTTACCTGATAGAATGCAAACAAATGATAAATAAAAATCAAAGTATGTGATAACATATATTTTAAAGGTATAGAAAATATAACAAATATTTACATGTAAAGCATATAAATACGATATTTTTTAATTTTTTATTTAATTATAAAATCATTATTACGTCGACATTAGGAACTTGTAACATTCTTATATATTTATGTTGATTATTCAATCAAATAATTAATTTTTTATTCTTGGAAAATTTGCAACTTTATCGCTTTTAGCAAGATATTCTACCATTAAAGTTTCTTTCTCCAATAAATAATTAAATAATTAAAATAGCGACTTACCCCATATTCCCAATAGCGTAGGTATCTGCATTCCGTAAGAGAATACCCAGCAGAAGATTATCATCGCGGCTATCCAGAACTTTTTGTAAACTTTACTATAAATAGCGTGATGCGCTATCATAATATATCTACAAAAGCAAAAGTTTGAATTATAACTTCATATTGCATTTTGATCTCGTCGTATATTCCCTTCTTCAAATCGTAGAAAAATCTCTTATCTCAAGCACTTTGACTTTAAAGAGTTAAAAGACGAAACAAAAACACCCACCTATTGATAGTGATCGCTGCGACGGATAGGAGGCTGACGCCGACGTTACCGTACCGTAAAAAGGGCACGAAAACGCAAAAGAATCGTATGTCCGTCCAGCTGGCGTTGATGAATCTGATGGAGTCGAACGGCAGCACCAGCAGACAGAACACGAAGTCCGCGATGCATAAGCTGTTCCAATGGCAATGTAATTTTAATCAGTGCGTGCACGTTAGAGAAAGTTGCGTATTAAAAAATGCTAGAATTTAAAAATCAATTTTTTTTACATTTAAAATAATGCCATTCGTGCGAGATGACACACAAACGGAATGAATGTACAAGCTTCTTCAATATATATGCGAACAAATTATTTAGAAAATCAAATAAAGAATTAAACGGTAAAATTATGTAAATAAACTTGTTTACCTTATAATAAAGGCCGCCGCAACGTTGCGAACTTTGGGATATTTACATAAAGCAACGATTGTCAGTAGATTACCGGCCAGACCAATAATCATGATGATGATCGCCATTACCGCCGCGAAGGTCCTTAAAGGCTTCGGAAATCTGAAGCGGGTAAAGCAACCATAAAAACAGCCATTTGTCATTATCATAATTATATTAACTATATTAATTAACAACTACATTAATTAACAATTAATATTAATTAACTATATTAATTAACAATTAATATAATTAAACAGATTTACTTAATAAATCATTAATAAATAATATAATTGAAGTTAAAAATTACTAATAATTTAAAAGTTAAATTAAAAATTAATACAATTAAATAAGTTTATTTAATCAATAATAGAAGTATAATAAATTTATAGTATAATAAATTTAAAAATATTATAAAACCAATTTTATTCATTTGAGAAATTAAATTCACAGGTTTAAAATAACATACAAGTCATGCGTAAATTCCGCAAGTAACACTCAAGCGTATCGTTAATTTCAAATTTAATCCACGCAATTAACTGGCGTGATTTAATTACACGATATCGGCGATTCTGGATACCGCTCCAAAAAGAAACGCGATCGTACCTCGACAGTTCCGCGTCGACGATGGTGCTATGCGTGACGTTGTCCATGATGCGTGACAACCACGTGTTCGTGCCGTCCATTATGCCGGCCGTGCCGAAGGTGTCAAAGCTCTGGTCCAGCGATTCCATTCGCCCTTGATCCGGCCCCGAAGGCCTGCGACATTCACGGGCGGAAGAACGGGATTAAATATTCGACTTGCGTTCCCCTTAGCGGATATAAACTAAAACGGGATGACTAATTGTATTGTGAGTCTCGTAGCAAAAACACTTTCGCGGACACTTTGACGAAAATAACAAGACCGCAATATTCTGATTAGATCGATGTCTCATTCTACCGTTGCCTGACGAATATTAATATATTACTATTGCTAACCTCGTGCGGACATGGTTGAGACTACATTATAGCTGATTATAGCGCGGTACGAAAGAGACGGCATGGGACATTCCCACGAGGAGGAAACCGCGATCTAAAATTCCGGCACGACGCACTTGCTCGAAGCGATCTGACGTAAAGCGGATGCGACGACGCGTCTGCTGTTTCAAAACCATTTCCTGAAGTGCACCAGAAAGAATTAAACGCTCGCATGGCAGCGGATTAATCATTTCACATTTGTTTCAATATACGATTCATTAAAATTCTTTAGAATCTTTGACTTAATTCTTTAAAAAATTAATATTGTCGAAAATTTATTATCTGCATGTATCAAATTAAAACGTATATTCTTGTAAGATCAGTTAAAAACGTAAACCTTATTTCCGTAATAATTCTCCAAATAAAAAATATATTGAGCCTATCATTAAAAATATAATCACTACTAACAATTAAAAAAAACTTAATAACATTATGATACGTTATTTATTTATTTTTTAATATGTAGGTGAATTGCTGTATTCTTTGCTCTGTTTCAATGTATTTTCCTATTACACAAACAAATATATCATATCCCTAGAGTTACCGAAGGCTCTGACTCTAACTCCTACTGAAGACTTTGAGAAGGATCCGCGATTGTCCGAAGGCGCGTGGGACGTCTGACATTTGCGTAATGCAAATTCCGCGCGCGTGCGATTCTACGCATTAAAATAATTCTCCGACATAGACAATGACTCGAGGGACGATCTTATACGTTTGGAAAGACAGATCGTAAGAATTTATTGTTATTTATGGGCTCTCGTGACGAAGGGCGCCACCGACGGAAGTGGATCGTCCGGAGAATTTACAGAGGACAATGCGAGACTCTCTCACGACGAACGCGAGAATTAGCACCACGCTTATTCTCTGTGTTTTTTTTCAACGCGCTTGGCTATCAGTAACTCCGATCCGGTCGAGAACGTTTCGCATTTAATAAACGTTTCATTAATTAAGAAAACCAAATTATCGAAGTTAATTCCGCACAAACAATCCTGCAGATATAATTAAAATCCCATTAGCCTATATTTTGCTGCGATTTACAGTTGCCTCGCACGTTGATTATCTTTCGATAATTACGATCGTTAATGATCGTTCGGAGAAAGTCCGTTAAATACTTTTAATTATGAACGAATACTAATTAAGGAAAAAACAGTTTCCTGTTTGAATGTGATGCCAGCTATAGGTCTGTGTCGAAATGTTTCGCGTCATCTCTCAGGCATTCGAATTCACGTAGCGTACACTTAAGAATCTATAAGTCATGCGATTTGTCTTTCTTATTCTGTCTCCGACCGCTCGATTGCAGCCACGCTAAGTAACTGAGTTTACTAATGACTGCGGGTCACCGGTACATGAGTCACTTGTGTTATTGAAACATGCGTAACGATACTCGATATTACAAACTCGCAATAGGCACGTATCAATTCGAAACAATTATTCCTAAGTGCTGATATTATATTATTACGGCTCATTATATTTCTTCAAAACTTACTATCTAAATGATTGAAGATTCATGTTATAAATGTAAAGACATGAAAATAGTTACATACATAATAATCTCATTTTTTTACGTAACCTTGATATTATAATTCCGTTACAATACAAATATGTTATGCTTTTGTTTCAAGATATTTTCAGTAGATTTATGAGGAATCCTTTATAAATTCGAAAAGTATACTCTTAATTTCAGGAACCGCGATGGAGAACCGCGAACGATCCGTTTATCGATTAGCTATTATGATCTATGTGCAAATACATAGTTGCGGAGGGTGCGTTGGATTTGGTAAACTGGGGTCAAGCTGCGGTGCATTAACCCCGATTGAGCTTAATTAAAGGAAATTAACGGACACCCGGTACTATAGACGTCCCCTCGCGACAAAAAAAAGGCGATGAAAGCCATGGAAGACATGGGAACCCATTAACGCGTCGCGTCTGCGTCGTCTCGTTTTACACATTTCGTATGAGATATCAAGATATTCGATGAGATATTTAGATATTTGAACATTGAGACATTATCATAACTGCAGTGAAAAATTAATTATTATCAGAAGGAGACTTCCGGGGAAACCGAACCAAATGTCATACAAAAAGATTGACGAGACAAAAGAAAACGATCAAATCTATATAAGAGAAACTAAATATAAAAGAAATTAATTTTTAAGTTTGACGTTCGCGTTTATATCAAGTTCAACAGTTATCGCTATCGTGTCACGTTTAAATAACGCGAACGAAAAGTCTGTATGTAGGGACAATAAATTTTTTGTATTATAGAATTAGTGAAATTATTAAAATTTAAAGATTTTTCACTACAAATTATTTGTTTTCATCATTGCTACAAAAAAATTATATTTTATCGAGCAGTAATCGTCTTGAAGTTAGTTTGGATCTAATCGGGTGGCAGGTATTTGACTGCGAAACGGGTGTACGTATATTTGACTTTGATATCGGTTCGATAAGCGAGGCTAATCCGATTCGTCGTCGACGAAGGAAGACGCGACGCGAAATCGCGAATGTTGATTTTCGTCCCGTGGAAGTTGTCGGCGACGAATTGACGTCACCGAATGATTTCCGCGTTAATCATACGGCGAACGGCAATGAATGAGTCAAGTTGAGTCACGGTGAAAGTACCTAGACCGAGTCGAGGCGTGAGTCGTCGATGCGCCGCGCCGTGCCCGTCGGCCGGCGTATCGCTGCACCTCACCGATCGCAAAGACGCGTTTAAACCTTGCACGCGGATTTGCGCTTATCCGAAGGCTTATACATCAACGCCTCGTGTAATATTTCGGCCCGAGACCCGCGAGAGATTTACCATCTCCGATGTAAATTAGCGTTGAATAACACGCCGCGATACACCGTCGCTTAATTCGAAACGCTTATTCACAGCTTCATCCATCCAAGGATTGAGTTAATGTTTAATTGAATAAGTTTCGCGCCTGTACGAAATTATTATTAAAATTAAAAGATTGATCGTTCTATCGACAACAAAGTGCCGGGATTAAAATTAAGTATCACGCTTCGACCTCTCTGCGAATAAGTGAGAAACTAGATTATTATGTGATCCTTTTATTAAGTATGCTTGCAAAAATTTCTCGCGTTAATTTTAACAACGAGATTTCGACGTATAAATGTGCAAATGTTGATTGAAAAGACTTGTATGCGCATGGATTAAGTACATGTAAGATCGTTGAAAGTCGCGATCGAGTCGCGACAACTCTCTCGTATCCCGCCCACGAGGACACCACGTGGCGTGGATGTCAAATGTCTGCACGTAGGACACGAAACATGTGTTGCGCTATTCATACTGTGTATTTAGCGCCAAATATGCTACGCGTCGGGTGACATTGAAATACTCGCGTCACCGACTCATTTAAAATGTAATGTAGCTAAAATGTAATGTCCTCGTAGCTGTCTTTTACACGAATATATTTACGGAAATTTATAATTTACTAAGAAAATAAAAAGAATACATGAGATGTATTATTTTATACACTCCGCAAATGTGCAGGCAAAGCAAATAATGATTTGTAGAGAGAGTAAGATTTTTTTTTAATCTATAATATTTCATATGAAATATTAATTAGTCAACTGCGGGATTCGAATAATTGTGTCCAATAAGTATTCGTATAGTCATTATTTAGGTGTTTGAGGATCCACTTTCGCATTAACTTTCGGTACGACCCAGCTAATTGAATGCTACACCATGCGTCATAATTCTCTCCACGTCACGTTTCTAAATTGCCCCTCGGGACCATCGGGTAACTCGCTGCACGCTTTTTTGCCCGGTTCTCGGCATTGGTCCCTCAAGATCGCAGACCAGCGCCGCCCTTGAGATCCGGGAGGACTCGCGCGCGAATGAAAACTGCGATTACGATCAAGCGAAATGATATTTTTTTAAAGAATCAATTAAGTATACAAGAAATTATCTTTCTCATTTCGTCTACTTTTAGGTCGAGATGATTGTAATTCTAATCACGGAAATCGGTTACGTTCACGTGAAGCGTGATGTTATTTAATCATTGATTAAATACAAATACAATGAATCGCTATAAAAGATAATAGAGGGAGATAAATTAGAAAACGGTTCATCACTTACCGCTCGCTAGATGCTCTTATCTCAGACCAGCCATAAGCCTGTCGACGAAACACGTAATCGAAGAGGGAAATCTGCTGACTTCTGTTAACTGAAGGATCTCAGGTGTTTTCGATTTAACAATAGCCTTCCTCTTCAGTGCGTTCTCGCCTGTGTCTTGACGAGAGACGATAAAGTCACTTCACGATATGTCAGATTTCGAATCATTTAAATAAAGTTCACAAGAAATGGTACAATTTTCCTCCCGGTCGTTCACTTATTATAAGCTCGCGAGTGGAGTCTTGCGGTCTTCTTTGATAGCTGACTAGCACAAATTTGATTTAATATCAACTCGTCAATCCGTCATCAAACAATCTTTCCTTCCTCGTTTTAATTACCTAGTTTTCTTAAAAAAAAAAATTAATTTTCTCGCGAGAACTTCATTTCGTTAAATTTTCAGTCGATCTTCATCAGAGTCCACTTGACGTTTCTTTTCTTTGAATGAAAGCTGATCCCGTTCGCAGAAATGCACTTATTTCATTATTTCAACTTTTATTTTATTAAATCGTCTTGCAATTAGAATGCTTCTTCCTCCGATTTTCGCTCGTTGCAATCCGGGACCACGATCGCGGCGAATTTGCGCGAAGATTCGATTGCGCGCGACCGACTCTACCGGGCCACGGATTCGGGGACCACCGGCGCGCGAATCACCGGTGTCGACACGGGCACCGTGTACGCGTCAGCGTCACCGTGAATGGACTGCTGCTTACCCAACATTCCGTCAGATTGTACACACACGCTAGATACGGGCCCCGCCGCGAGTAGGGCGACCGCAGGAGGAGGAAGAAAAGATGTTGGTAGAGAAGCGGGGGAGCGGCTCGGTGTGGGCTCGATGACGAACATACATACAAGCGCGGTGTGTGCGAGGCGAGGGCGCACATCTGCACCCAGGACCCGGGCGGGCGGGAAGGGGGGGGGGAACACCCAGTTGACCCTTTCGCTGTGTGACACATCGGGCCGGGTCTTTTTAAATTGCGCGGAATGCGCTGCCATTGCAATACATCGCGTTCTTTTGTGTAATTAGAGAACGATGCAAATTACAAACCTTGATCGATTGATCGTTGCGATTAAAGCTGTCCTTGTCGATTATGTGAGATAACTCGAGAAATATTGTAATATAAAAAAATGTTGCACCTTTTCGGTTCTGCATCTCCATCGAATGAAGAGTTAAAAAAATTTCTCATCTTTACTTTGACATAATTTTTATTTCTGTCTCGATTACTCGCGAGTCTCTCGCGACCGAATGTGAAAAGAGACGGACGTCCTTAAAAGAAAGAGAAGGCCGTCGTGAGTCACACGCGGATATGTATATACGAGACAATAGAGGCACATAACAGCAAGAATGTGTTGGTAAATCGTGAACAATTAAATACTAGATTGAAGTAGATTTAAGTATAAGTATAGAGAAAATACATAAAGTATAAATTTGATACGCGACATATAAATCAAATTTATAGCTTGTAACAAATAAGTCAATTAAATTTATTTTCTTTTTTTATCACGTTTAAGCGAAATATTTTATAAATGCAATAAGCTGCTCGATTAAAAATTAAATATGTCAGAATGATAAGTATAAATCATAGTATTGTACAAGCAAGCTAATGGTCATCTAGAAATTCGCGCAAGAAGAACTCGTACTCGAGTAGCCGCGGTCCTCCTCGCGGTCAACCGATAACATCGCCGCTCTGAACCGCGGGCGCATTTATTGCGTAAGCAACCGAAGACACGCGGTGAGGAGAGTGAATTAGGCGTAACGAAGTGGAACCGACCACCGGCATTAATTGGTATGACTAAATCGAACGTCTCGTTAGTTACACGCGCGTCATAAAGGCGACCCGCATCCAACCGCGGTGTGTTGTCCGGGATTAGCTCGGTCGACCGAAACTCTCGCTCTTTTCCAATCTGTAGCCATCTATTCTATGTAAAAAAAAAGATGGTATTATCTACGGTGTAATCTATTTATGTCAAATACAACAATCAATCCGTTTACGCATGTAATATTAAGAACACGTTTGTACGCGGCGTCCTAGATTTGCCGGATGTTCTTCCGGCACGGTATAGATACGCAATATGATAAATTAAAAATGTCAATCATCACAAAGCGGTTTATCGTGAATTGAAGAATTACCAGCAATTAAGTTGTGCGTAATAAGAAGGGCTTAAATTTTAATTAATCAAAAAATGCGTGATCAGAGAAAAGAGAATCAAGGGATAGATGTCAAGAGAAAATTAATTTCAAAACTACATTAATAAAGTACATTATCGATTGCGATTATCAAATATTTTTTTAGATAGATTTTTTTCACGAACTCCATTAATCCGAGAGAAAAATTAAGTTTTGTTAAAAGGTGCAAATTTATCAGCTGCTCCTACAATAACATTTTGATTTCAGATCATTTCAATAAAAATGGATTGATTTGTACAAATGCGATGGAGAAATCAATTAATTTTAATCTTTATGCCCGGTCTAAGTTTTATAATTTACACGAATATACATCCGTGCACATCGGTATCTACAAACGAATACATTTCATCTCGCGCTCGGTCGCCTGATTTGCCTCTCGGATAGCTTATTTTGTCCTACAATTGTTTACGTAAATATATTTAAACGTTAAACCTTCGCAACGTTCCTCTTTCTTTTCATGCGCGTACAATCTACAATGATAATAATTTCAAATCTTTATTTGTATTACAGTCCGGCGCGTACAGTATTATATTGTATACGTTAATAATTTGCTCGACACGAAAAGCTTATGAAAATACAATACAATAAGACAATATTTATGAAACCTCGAGCGTCGTTGTTATATTATGCTCTCGTTATTTTTGCCAACGAGCCTGTCTGTTTATCTTTATGATCTGTCTCACTCTATATGTTTACATTTTTTTCTAATGTTGAACAGCTGACAATAAGCGGATCATCCGCGAACCTGTCAGCGTTAATATGTATATCTGTCTCCCGAATATTCTCGACGCGAAATAATTTTGCTAATTGCATGGTGACGCGATCAACATATTTTATTTTATGGACAATGTTTTGTGGACAACTTTCCTAACCGGAGATTTCAGTGATCTCCCCTCAGAACTCGGACAAACAGCTAGCGAAATGGGGAAACGCGCTTCCGACCCGCTCACTTCCGCTCGCGGTCGTTCGTGCGCAGCTGGCTCTCCCCCTCGCGCCCACTACTAACAAAATGCAATTATTTTTAAAAAGGATGTAGGGACGCTCTCTCGCCACGAGTTTCCAGGGGACGGTACGCTCCCGATCACAGACATGTAGGTGCTCCATCACAAGTGGCATATCGACGATGGGACGTGGAGCTGGCTGGCACCGTTTTAATGCTTTCACGTCGTCGACCACGTGACATCTCGATTCGCGCAATAAATTGTTTGCAATAAAATTGGCGATCGGTGATTCTCATTCAGAGCTTATATCTAATTTTATAAAATATAACGCAATTAATATCATATTATGGTATATCCTATCGTAAAAAAAATTTATGTCATAAATAGAAGAAGATAAAGAAATTGATCGAAGAAATTGTCCCTTCCGGTTGCCGAATTATCGGCTTTTAAGAGGAAATTATCTCGACATCGGTGCATGTGAAAAAGGAGGAGTCGAATTTGGCGCAAGCGCAGCATCCGCGAAAAGTGCATACTCTTGTACACGCACTTGATTCTTGCTAATAATTCCGCCAGTCCATTCGCGAATTTTACCGGATCCGCTTCGTTCGCACGATCTGTCAATTCCTTTTCTTCTTCTTGTGTCTCTTTGCTGTGCCGCGCGGATTTGGCAGGTAAATTTGAGACTCCCCGTCGTAGGAGGAGGCCTTCTCATTAAATCTCGTTACCTCGTGAATATATCGCACCGACTGTTATCAAAAGTTGCGACAAAGTTGCAGGCGAAATTTCTAGTTTCCCAAAAGAAACCACTCCGAGTCTGCAAGGTCAAGATGAGAACCGGCAAGAAGAAGAATAAGTCAGAGACATGACTAACGTCATCCCGGTTTCGAAAGGAGCGAGAAAAGTCACCACGAGGATCTCGGATCATCATCGGTAATCGTCACCGTCGATGAATCAGAATCGTGTTTTTTTACTTTCGCAAGGGTAAGTATAAGAGCAACGCCGTGACAGAACAGAATAGAAAAAATAAAATAAAAATAAAAGCTCTTGGAATTTTTATTTGAAACAATTCTCTCGTTGAACAGCTGAGCAAAATTTGCGTTAAAATATTTACAGCGTGTTTTTAACGCTTTGTGCTACGTTTTTCGTCCGCTCATTTCATTTGCGAAAGAAGCGACCTAATTTGCGTGCGAACGTTGACATATATGCTCGTCGGCGATGATTCGCGACTACATAACGCGGACTGTGCGAACTGACCATCGATACGCTGCGAGACCGTGGTCGCGCGAGCGACCGGCTCGGACCATAGAAACGTCTGAGAGTTTACGCTCCGGCGAAAGAGTTTATCGTCTCAGGTGGCGAAAATAGATCTCTCTGTTCCTCTCCCCGACGCACCGTTCGGGAGAAAAAAGAGGTGTGCTGGGTCCAACACACGTGGACACACACACGCGCGAGAGGTGTGCGAAATTCGCGCCTCTGAAACGGCAGAACGCATGTGTCGGCCGTTAAGCGAGATCGTAATGTGCAACACAAAGAAGAATTAAAGGGAAAAAAGAATACGTACGTTTTCAGACTAGAGCCGTATTAGTTCTCGATCGGGCGCATCCCCTGCCGAATTTTCCTAAGAACTTGATTACACGCTAATGCATAATTAAGTGATATAATAATATAATGCGCAATTTTTACGCACTATTGTATATCATATTAAAAATGTCGCTTAATTCACGTTACAAAATTAATTATCATTTAAATCATTCTCTACATTTGATGGATAAAACATTATAGATTATACATGATGATTTATAAAGTAGTTGATTATTATTACTTTAAAGGGTTCTTCTGAAAATATCAGAACAAATAAATATCTGGCGGAATGCATAAAGTGTCAAGACTCTATTTACGGCCCTGACATTCGTAGACGTACTCGGCAAGAGAGTTCGGCTTTCCGCAGATGCTGGAATACTGGTGGATGACGAGCAACGAGACTGGACGCAATCGCAGCGGCGACGACGACGCGGCGATCGAGGAGATGCTGCAGGATCCGGGATCGGTGGTCCTCTTCGTCGACTATCCGCGTTGGCTGCTGTGCTTCGCCGCCGCCTGTTGCATCCTGTTCATGCTGGTCGGTATTCCGGGCAATCTCATCACGGTGATCGCATTATTTCGCACCAAAAAGGTAACCGTTCGTAACCGTAACTGTAATTCTCTACGTAACTCCATAACAAATTTTATATGGCGAAAAGAAAATGCGAGCGGGAAAGAAGTATCTAAAAGCGGCGCAAGTTAAAAATGGATCGATTAGTTGTTTTATTGATACAAATTTTACATAATAATTTCGAATGTTGACGTTGCAGGAAAACGATGACGATTCGTAGGAAGGCAATTCAGAAAAAATAATGATATTTTTGCAATACATATTTCCTGTCTAAAGGAAAAATAATTCTGAAATGCTTGTTAATAACGTACGCGCTCTCATGTATGTGTAAAACTCGTTTTACGTTTTTACTGGCAATTTTCCTCGTGCTCGAAAAGACTTAGGTATAATGAATTCGTATTATGCAAGGCTATTCAAGTTTCCGGTACTGTTTACACGCAGAAATCTTAAAAGCTAGCCGAGTTAAAAGTGGTTTACCTCGAGTCATTACGCCTCTTTAGTCTTATATACAAGGCGTTAATCCAAATTGCAACGAAAACGTTAAACTGTACAGAATAATTCTCGGTTGAATATTCTTAGAAATACAGTTTTATCTTATAAAAATTCTGTTATTATTTTGTATTTTTATATTTTGTAATATTTTATATATTGATTTTTTTTATTGATTGATTAAATACCTTTTTTACAAAATTAAAGTTACGAAAAATGTTTTTATTTAAAATGAGACAAACCCTTCAATTAAATAACTCTATCCATGTAACTTTATAATCATACAACACTATACTAATAATAATAATAAATACATTTTATAGCAATTTACTTATTAATTATTGAACAGTGATATATGTTTTGGAATATGTAGGAAATAATTGTTTTATTGCGTAGTAAAATATTTCTCTAACAAATAATTGACGAACGGAGGTCGTCGGCACGATTCTATTGCCTCTCGCGAAAGTCGATCATCAATGAGTTAAGTTTGGAATCGATTACGCGGAACCGCGCGCATATACAATCGTGTGTTTTCACGAAGGTTCACGTACTCCGTTTTCCGATATAATCGACTAGAATCGAATCGGGAAGTCTCCATCAATTTTATTGTGTTTACTTTAAGAAAATCGGGAGAGCTTATTTGATAACTTAAGTTAAAAATTAATTTTCACGTGTAAATGATTTCTTCGTCGTCATCCATGTATTATCGAATACTTCCTACAAGAACGATTAACAATATGAAATAATCATATATAAATAATTTATGACTATTTCAGACAACAGAAATCTTAATAGGCATAATTCTGGCCTATATAATAGCCAGTTACTTATTAATATAATTATTTATATATATATTAATGTAATAAGTATATTAAACGATTGCTCGTAAGGAAATAATTTTATAATTCTATTTTTAATATTATATTTGTATAATTAATTTTGCTAACACAGCTAAAAAACGCTACCGCGGTCTTCATCATGAATCTCTCGATGTCGGATCTGATGTTCTGCTGTTTCAATCTACCACTCGCAACTTCAACGTTCTGGCACAGGTCGTGGTTGCACGGATCACTTCTGTGTCGACTGTTTCCGCTCTTGAGGTACGGCCTCGTTGCGGTCAGCCTCTTCAGCGTTCTCGCGATCACAATCAATCGTTACGTCATGATCGGTCATCCCGGTCTCTATCCTACGTAAGTGGCCTTTGATCTCTCTCTTCCTTGTATAAAAATATTTTATTTTCTACAGCTCTATTTTATATACTATTTTATTTAATAGACCAAATAAAAATAAATAATTATTAGGCGTGTAAGAGCTAGTGAAATAGATAAGTGAAACAATTGAAAAAAAAGGAGAACATATGTGAATCTTTATCAATCTTTAAAATCAATTTCCTCGAAAGCTGTGAACAAAAATTTTTTCTGTTTTATATTTATGACTTTTTACACAAGACATTATCTTTTTAATTGCGTTATGAATTAATTTTGAACGTTAAAGGTTATATAAAACGAAGTACTTAATACCGATGGTTCTGGCGATATGGATCATCGCTTTCGGCCTGCTGATCGTCACGTGGTTCGAGCGATTCGGACGTTTCGGATTGGATCCCGTTATCGGATCCTGCTCGATTCTGCCTGACGTAAATGGACGGAGCCCGAAGGAGTTCCTCTTCGTTCTTGCGTTTTTAATACCCTGCTTCGCTATTATCGTTTGCTACGCCAGGATTTTCTACATCGTCCGCGAAACTGCTTCAAAGAGCAGAGGTCGAAACAAGATCTTAAACGTGGAACCGACGGAAATCAGCCATGACGTAAGATTTATTTATTTCTACGGCAAAAGAAAAAAATAAAATTCAAAATTAATACAGAAAATAAATTGTAGAAAATACGTATCTAAAAGAATAAAAAAGAAAACTGATTACTTCTCTCTGTACAATTTGTTGAAAAAAATACGACATATGCTTGACATTTGAATATTGACGGTAAGATTTTGTATACTTTAAATAAATAAAAGTAAATAAAATATTAATAAATATTATATATTATAGAACAAAATTAATAAAATAGCTAATAAAAGAATTCTACTCAAAAAAAACTTTATCTTTCTATTTAATTTATTAAAATTATCATTTTTCATTCGTTTAAATCCTAGCTTATCGTTTTTTACAGCAACCATCTGCGAAAAATCAAGAGCAAGAGCTCTCTGTTCTCTGCGCTCCTTCCTCATCGATGCAAGCGGTTCTTCTTAATCCAGACAAAGGGAGGAATCTCGAGCTACCGTCCACATCCGCCAACGAAGACTCATCGTGGTCCAAGCAGCCTGTTCACGATCAACACGAAACGGATTGCGCGACGAATTCAATGACGAATATTACAAATTCTAATGGTTACGACGTTTCTCAAGCCAGCCTGTCGGAGAACATACCGTTCGTGGACGATCGCGAGATCGAGAAATCGGACTTCGCCGAAGCGAGGCTGTTCCTGAATCGGAGCCAGTGCGAGCCGCAGCGGACGTCGCCGGGGAAGCCCTGCGGTCGGCTGGGCAGGCTGACCGGTCGAGCGTCCTTCGTGGTGGAGGCCTCGCTGCAGAGGATCGCCGGTGGCGAACGCTCGGATCGGCTGGATTCTTCGAGGCCGTCCGAAGTTAGCGAGGGCCACGCGAGAAGGGTGTTTCGCAGACAGTCGAAATTCAGAAGCGTCGGCAGGACGCGCAACGGCGCGGGCGATTACGTCGCGCCCAGGATGTCCGCCAAGGACCGGAAGCTGCTGCAGATGATCCTCGTGATATTCGCGTCGTTTCTGGTGTGCTACCTGCCGATCACCGTCACGAAGCTCTTCCAGGGCGCGGTCGACTGGCGGGGCCTCAATATCGCCGGCTACATACTCATCTATCTGACGACCTGCATCAATCCCGTTATCTACGTCGTGATGAGCTCGGAGTACAGGAGCGCGTATAAACACGTGTTGCTGTGTAAAGGGTGAACGGGCAACGAGCGTGAGGGGATCGCCGAGGCCGAGCCTGCGCGCTGACGCTGCAGAACGTCTGAATATAAATAATTTCGAAGAAAATAATTATAATATAAATAATACGTAAATTATATTTGTTATTTGGCGCGTCTGCACGGTCTGTTTTTCTTGGCGCTTATCGATGTTTTCCTTTTCGTGAAATAATATATCGTCTTCGAAGATCAATGACACTTAAGTAAAAATTGTTGACTTATTTATTAAAATGAACGTGTAGATTTCTAGTCTCTCTTCCAATTTTAGTAGGTTAAAAAGAATTTTATTTATTTCGACAAGATTAGACAGAATGTATTATTTCTTCGATGGTATTCGCCACTTTTACGTCGCTTTGCGTGATGATCGCATGATGATAGTTGTTGAGATTTTTGTATCTAATCTATTAGAAGATAATCAAAATCTTTAAGTCTAAACGATATCTCTTTTCATTATGGATATCCGTAACTTGTGTACATCTTAATTCTGTCAGCGGTCCTTAGCCTTCTAAATCTTTGCGAATCTGTGACGAATTGATATTAAAAAACCAAAGCTCATCAATGGTATAAAACGTTGTATAAAATGCGTTTTTAAATTCTCATGAAGTTATACACTTTAAAAAAAAAAATCCTCGAATATATTATACATAATCGGTATTACGTACCGAAGCGAAGATTAAGAACCGCTGAGTCATACTGTACATTACGAAGTGCATTACAAAAGTGAGAGCTTTGCAACATAATTTACAACAAAGTAATTAAATAATTTCAAGTATGTTACACATGACGCATCAAGTCTTATCTATATCCTTATATATCCTTACTTATATATATATTCACGAATTTGATTTTTTTTTTTTAAGAAAAAATTCGGATCTACCCGTTAGGTAGATTGCTAGGCTGAAATGTCAGCTCCAGATTTGCAATTGCCATGACAGTTTCAGCCCTTTCAGCCCTTTCAGCCCTTCCATTCACCTAACGTCGCAACATTAAATCCTTCTTCATTTTCATGAGAAAGAATGGTTCGTTTATCGTTTACTTTTCAAAGAATGCCCTTCGTTAAATTTGAAAAAGCTTGTTCAAGTATATACATTAATAATTTTCGTTAAAGAAAGATATCCGGGACAAAAGAAACGAACCTTCGCGACGTTAATACTTAATATTAGCTCTCTCGCTAACAGCACATTCAATTTCTGTCGAGGTTGGACGGCACCGACGCCGCTTGTATCGTGCTGATGTTCATGCCAGGTGGCCAGCTCTTCTCCGGCTTTTCTGGCCCGTTGCCGGCCTTCGGAGTAACCTTCGAGATGTCCAGCTTGCCGCTATCGCGATTCTTGTAGTGCAAGAATCCGGCCGCGCCGCCCATGCCGATCCCTCCAAGCATCATTATCCACTTCAGAAAGCTGCAAATCGAAGTTACCAAGTTAATAAATAATTTATCATGTTGGCAAATAACTCTGCGACACAAGCGAAGAAATAATTATGAGCTGATATTGATATTAGCTTATCCGTCAAATATATAATAATTATATAAGAAATATTGCTGCAAACAGCAACACTCACTTGACGACCGCCGTCACTTTGAACACCACCTTCACCTTGTTGACGAACTCGTCATCCAGAAGTATCCCTTCCTCCACCCAGAATAATGGCAGCAATGCCTCTGGAAAGTTTTTCATCAGCTTGAACTTCGGTACCGGTTGTATAAACATGTTGAACTGCAGCCGCTTATGCGCGCGTATGGGCGTAGCTGTCATCGGCTCGAAATCCATATCGATTTCATGCTCCGTCTATCAATTACACATATAGTTTATTTAAATTACACATCTCCTATATTTAATTAGTAATTGTTTCATAAAATTATTTTTTTTAACTATTTCTATCATGTAACTCCTATCTGTGTCTATCTGTAATTATTTGCGTATCTCGCATTATTTGACATACTCGGAATTTCTCGTTTATTTATCAATTACCTGATTCGGGTGCAAGCCCTCCACCATCGCTAAATATTTCCCGTCGGTGTCATAAAAATGTGGCAGAGATCCAATGATGGGCACGCCCAGACACTTCGTCATGTCGTAGAAATTTTTCGTCAGACAAGTCTCCGGTGTCGGGCAGAAGCACTTTTCCATAGGATTCGTGCTCATATCCCCCAGATTCGCGGTGTAGTGAAGAGTATTGACGCCTGTGAATTCGAGAATGTTGTCGAAAACAAAGCGAAATGATAGGCAAACATATGCATATTTCCTTCTATCGCACCGTATTGTTCCGGCATTAAAAAAAGTTATATATAAAATTAACATATAATATATATAAAATTAACATATAATATATAAGACTTTTCAATTAAAAAAAAATCAAGAATAATAATCGGGCACTAAGAGTCTAATAACGTGAATCTTAGTGAGTAAAATAATTTCCTCATGTAGTTACATTTTCATTCAATCTTTTGTTACATACGTTTCGGCCCCCTTCAGACTTTCTTCAGTGTTAAATAATACAATAAGAAGAACGTCAATATATAGTCTGCAGCGTGGAAAAAAATTAAAGTACCATATCAATATATTATTCCGCTAGGATATAGTGTACTTTAATTTTTTTCACACTGTGGACTATATTGACGTTGATTAGTGAAATAATTTATTGATATGGATTCTTCTTATTGTGTCATTTAACGCTAAAAAAAGCCTGAGGGAGGCCGAAACGTGCGTAACAAAAGATTGGACGAAGATGTAACTACGTTAATACGAAGATGTAACGTGAAGATTAAATTGTTTTACGCACCAAGTTCCGCGTTATTAGACTCTTAGTTATATATAATTAAAAAAGTATTACATTTAATAATGTATGTATAACGCTGCTTCGCGAAATGTTTTCGCATTTCGAGATATCAAAACCTTAATTTCAATTTCACTTCTCGGCATAAATGGGCGCGACGAATTTTTCCTATGTATAATCCAATTTAAAGTTTTTTTAAGACGTGCCTTTGACCTTGCTGTGGTACTCGTAGTGCGCGCTAAGACTTCGGCAGATCTCGTAGCCGAACGAGACGATGTCGTCGTCCGGTCCGAACAGAGGCGCGAAGATCGTCGAGTCGGTACCGTTGTAAGCGTTGCAGTGATCCTCCGGCCAGATGTCCAACGCGGGCTTACCGTTGAACTCCAAGACGCGACCGACGTCCTTGAAATTTTTAAGACCGCGCAGAACTTTCATACGTTCCGGCACGACGGTACCGTTTTTCTGCGGAAGTTAAATTTCCCGTGAAATCGTATTTTTATTATTAAAGAGCCACGAAATAAATTTTTATAATTCCCTCGTACTTTTTACGCTCGCTTTTCTCGCAGATACGTAACATCCAATGAAACGACAATAATCTACTTTTATTCACGACGAGATTGCGGTCAAACGCAACGTAACAGCTTGCTATTACTTCCATTCGTGACTCGTTTTTTTTTTCAACATGCAATTAGACCGCTAATTTATCTACTTATCATATACTTATCATCGAGAAGCCAGAGATTCTAGAGAGCTGCATTAGAATAGTGTTACGTATTTATATCTGAATATATAATTTTTTTTTTAAAGTACAAAAATTCTATAGTTCCCAAAACGACAAATTATTCGAGTGATATTCAGTCAAATTCTAATCAGCTTTGTCTAAAATAATAATGGCAATACACGAATATTCTTTAATTGAACATCTCATTATTAAAAATTGTCAAGTATAATCAGAATTTTAAACACATGCATACACAATCTCCATAATAAATAATTTTTTCTTTTTTTTTTTAACTACTTACCCCACCGAATAGGGAGAACTTGTAGCGATTTTCACCGTCCGGCACGAGATCTTTCGCTTCAGTCTTCAACAGATTGCACACCGCCGATCCGGCGAAGTCTTTCACGTCGCAGTCGACGGGCAGACCCCCGAAAAGTATATCCTTGGCCTTGGCCGTCACGAATAGCGACTCCGGTTTGTGGAAGATGCTGTCGACGGCTTTGCCTATACGTTATTCGGTCGGTAAATAAATTTTAGCGAATTATGCGCACACGTGTATTTTGAGGCACGTACAACAACGTTTTCGCAAATCGCACGCTATTTTTCGTTAAGCGAGCTTAATCGTCGAGGAGACGCACGTGGCGCGAATATGGTGGCGATCGAGGCAACGGAGACCTCATAAATAATTCGCACCTTCGTCGGAGGTGCACGTACGCTATAGGAAAACCAGTTCCACTTTAAACCTTCCGGCGCGCATTTATTATTATAGTCCGCGTCGACCCTGTGTGCGATTACGGCTGATTCGCGACCGCAATCGATACGCGACACTGAAAGAAAATGATACTCGATAGTGATAAATCGCGTATCTGTACGTACCGACGACCCCGATCGCGGCGGGCTTTTCTCTAAGGGTGGCCGCCACCATGCCCAAAATCATGAGATGGGGGTACACCATTATCTCCTCGCCCGTCAATCCGTTGCTCTTCTTGGGGTTGAAGAACCACGTTGACTTCATGCTGTACTCGACGGAGTCCTCATCCTCTCGATCGACGAGATCAAACTTCATTTTGTACTCGCTGGAGTTAATATTTAAATGTTTGAACAAATTTCAAAAAAAATTTTAAAAAGTTTTAACAAATTTACGGAGACGTGATTTTTAATTGATACAGATCAAATAAAAAAAGCAAATCGATTAAACTAAAATTAGATATACAGGTATATCATCAATAGAAACGCGATCAATCGATCGAGTATTTAATTTTTAATAATAACAAAAAAAAACAAAATCAGTTTTAGATGCTGAGTCTTTATCGATTCTATAATTCTGTCACAATATCAGATTCAAAATATGTTATTAGTTATTTTAAATATTTAGATTATTTATTTTCGCGTATCATGATTATTATAAGAGCGACTCACTCGTAGAAGAACGGACCGACTTCTTGCACTACCGGCTTTTTGCCCTCCTTAATTTCATCAGGGTTGGTTATATTGAACATGTAGATCTTGAAGTCCAGTGGCAGCGGAAAATTCGACCACATATCGCGTATCTCGCTTCCTGGCTTCAACGCAATTTGCTACATACGTTGAATCAGTTTAACGATCACGATAGAATTGACAAATGATAAATAAAAATGTTATATTATATATTATATAAATTTATATATTGTCGCACGGCGAACGCACGCGGCGCGGATCAAAAGGCCAAAGGGAATAAGGGAATTATTATTATTATTATTATTATTATTTGCGCACTAATTAGCTGACTCCTGACAGCTCCTACAATTCGTTTTAATTATAAAAATGTTTGTAAGACATTCACATTTTAAAATTATAGATTTAAGACAATTTGAAAACAAGGCTCTCGATTGTTCTCTAAGCAATCTTTGTTGTGACATTATACCTAGAACTTTGTAATGAAAAATGAATTTGTATCCAGGTGAATTGCGCAAATTACGGTCTTGGGACAACAGACGCGAGCATTTACGTCGACGAATGTTACGGTTAATTGTAGCCGTGGGGGGTAAAATAAATGTTTATCAAATCACAGTTCCGCGACCAATTCTGAAAATGCGTCCGTGTCACGTACGTAACTGTGTACAATGGAAAAAATTACATTAATTCCACTATATTTGGATCAGAAATTACAGTGCAATAAGATGCCAAAACAACATATTGTAATAATACGTTATGGCATTGTGACAACGAGAGTTCAAGGATTTCACGATATACACTTTCGCGAAATGACTTGAACGTTCCACATAGTAACAATGACTACTTAGGATTCTTAGGAATCAGACGCTCACGCAAAATTTCTTAGAACAATCTAAGACTTGAAAACGGAAACGAAAAAAAATCAAGAAGTTATACGAAAATTCGTTAATATATTATTAATCATCATATCATTATAATATCATTAATAGCATAAATATTTATGATATGTAATATTGCATTAAATAAATAACATTTTCGTGAAAATTTGGAAAATGAAAATTTGCCGTTCTGAAAAGCATATCTCTTGCTTGAGAATGAATTTTGCGAGTTACACAGAAATAAAATTATTGGATAAATTTAGAGCTCCTTATTAGAACCCTATTTAGAACTCCCTAAAACGAGAAAATTGTTTAATCGAAACAAAGCGCTGAAAGTTTTATCATTTCACAGAACAGCCTGTGTGTATTGTCAAACAATATTAAATAATACCTTACATCGGAATTACATAAATCACCGTAAATTACTGTTATTATAATGGGATATAATGAGTGATACAAACGTAACGAATAGATGATGGAAAGTGCGCGCTTCACTATTCGACAGGATAAAAATATTTCATGAAGGGAGATAAAATTCACTGTTGAAACATTAGTCGCTTATTACCTTCTTAATCTGCGATCTAATCAGTCCTGGGAATCCGCACCAGAGTAGAATGCCGAAGACAAACGAAACTCCACCGCCAATTCCGAGCTTCTTTATAGACACCATTTTAACGCTCTGCAGAAACGCCAAGTGATAGTTAGGCATAGGCACACAAGCGGACCGAAATAGATATTTCGAACGTATGTATAAACGATCACTTATATAAACTTAAGCGAACGAATCACACAAAATTCGGGATACGCATTTAGCGTTTGTGGGTCCGATTACATAACTATACATATTATTACCTATTTGTTGGAAATTAAAACCGATCAATTATGACTTATCGTGCCGTTTAAGTCAGAACGTAATCACGCGACGCTTGTAAAGTGCCTTGGAAACGTCAATACGCTAATTGTCAAAGACTCATCCTGGATGTCCTTCCGAAGCGATCGCGTTTATGAGGGAACGTTAATTTTTCACGAGCTCTACTCTCGATTCGCGAACACCGAAGATCAACATTGAACGATCGAAACCTTATTATATCCTTCGAGGACGCAGAGCACGTTGTCGAACGCTTTGCCGAATGGGACCGCGTTCAACAACTTCGTGCATTTTAAGACATCGTATATCCTCCGAAGTTCACGAACGGCGACGTCATACGCGCGTCGCTTGGTGACCATTATTTTGCTTGATAATGGCACCCGCGCACGCCTGTCCTTGTAGATCCCGCAACACTCTGATTCGAAAAAAAGAGACACCTCTTGCTTCACTGCACTTGATAAAATTGATGATTCCTCCTTTTTAAGATTCTCTTAATCTCTCGCGTTCGCGAAAAATCTCGTCTGCGATGCGTAAAAAGGTAGATTGCGATAGATATTATAATTTAATGTATAAGATATCGCACAAAAATGATTAAATGTTACAATAAAAATAACGTATGCATGAAAATATTCTCAAATTTAAATAAAATGAGATATAAAACAAAGGATTTATAAATATATAAATATATTCCTTGTTTTATATCTTATTCTCTTCTAACATTTTTTTTTCATTACGGAGAATGTCGAGTTAAACTTCATTATTTAATAACACACAAAAAAATTAAATGCAAAATAATTAACTCATCCATAATCTCACGTCAAAAATTAATATAACAAAAATCAAGAGTCTCGAGAAAAATTTGTTCTATGCCGTGCAGTTGTTTTCGTCTTTTTCTATTTTTATCTTCGTAGTCCAAACAAATGAACTAAACGAATAATCTTTCTTCAGTATCTGCATGTATCAGTATATCAGTATTCGATATTCACAATGGATATTTTGATACCGACATTAGAGTATCAGTATCAGAATTCCTCGAACAATTACTTCGATATTTCCGCAGACAAGTAACGCTTTGCGTGAGATTTACGTCCCTCTGTCGCCGTTAAATCTACCGCGAAAAAGCCGCGGTCCGCGGTCGCCGAGAGCTCGCGTTAAAATTCCGATTGTTGGGAATCCTCGTTCACTCAATGCGCAACCAAACACTGATCCCTTTAATCCGCGTTTAAAATCGCGCGCGAATATCCTAATTGTTAAGCTATCGACAGTCGACGGGAAGCCTCGATCTGTCATCGCCTTCCCGGCCGCAATACCGTCTTCGCACCTGTGCGGTCTTCCGGCCGAACTCTTCGCACCACCCTTTGTCGTCCTCGTCGTCGTCGTCGACGTCGCCGTCGCCGTTGATCGTGCGCGCGGCTCGTCGCGAACGGACTGCCCGCGCGATAATGACACCGATGTCTTACGGTCAGCCCGGCGTCGGCGTACTTCCACTTGCCCGTCGTGGTCTTCTCTCGGTTTTCCCTACGTAATAGGTACGCGGCATCTCCACACACAGCAGGATGCACCAACGACGACGACGATGCGAACGACGACACGCAATTTTGTTCGCTGACTCGCAAATACGTGATGCCGAAGGATCCTCCGAGTAAAGTCATGAAAAGAAGACGCTCGAATTAGACTGACCGATATTAAAGTTATGCATGATTTGCATTGTTTGCCGAGTGTTCTTCAACTAATATGAAAAAATACACGGATAAAACGATTTTGTTGGAAGAAAAAAAAAAATTTGGATCTAAAAATAATCTCGCTGGAAACTAAAAAATGATAAGCATTGCTGTAAAACGTTTTGATATTCTAGCAATCAGTTTGACTTTCCAACAAAATTATTTTGATGGTTTCAACAAGAATGATTTTCAGATCTGTATCCAGCAAAATCGTTTCTTTCTATTTGAATGGAATGCAGAAACAGAAGTACAATTGTAAAACTTTTGGTTTTAGTTTTTACTTAAAGTTTCTTTAGCCAGATAATTATAGAGTATCTAATGACTGTGACTGTTATATCCAAAAAAGAATACACGACGACATTGATAATGATTACTATATCTTAAAATAACTGTGTACTATATCTTAAACTAATTGTGCAAAATATAATTACTCAAATATTTCACTTCGCGTATTGAGCCATTTTATTTGCTACGATTAAAAAATAAATATTTGAAACAAAGATACGACATATTAATTACGTTCCAATCTTGTTTTAAATTATTTTCAAAAAGGATTTCTAAATGTTTAATTTTTTTCTGCAAATAATAACAAAAGAGATTATAAAGTTTTCGATAGGTTTGTTAAGAAATAAATGGCATTTAAAATGGCATAATATAACGTCGAAATGTCAATGTAATTTTTACAGTTATTGAAGGACATTTAAAATAAATTTAAGAAATTTTTATGTTAATTAAAACCGTAATAAGTAGGTAAAAATAAATTATTGTGATTATTGAAACTCCCTATTTTTATATTTAAAATATAGATTTCTGATCTAATACATGTCGCACCATTGAAATATATAAGTAACATCGTCTTAATAACAACTACAGTACAATATAAGTGTAATTAATTTATAGGAAAAGCCAAAATTGTAGTATTTAAAATATTTTGTGTTATGAAGAATAAAATCGTATTGATTAAATTATTATTGGCTACATAAATTGATCAAAAGTAATATCAATCGCATCTTATTTTCTTTTTTAATGTTTAATTGTTAATGTTTAATGGTTAATTTTCTTTCTTTAATTTTCTTTCTATCACGCACAAATTAAGAAGTAATCTGGGAATGTTTCTGTTTATATTTCTCACTTTTAGATACCACATCATTAAATGTCATTTATATTCAGTAATGATAAGGTAACTATTGATGAGATTCAGATGACCGGTATTAAGCAACTATAAGTATAGAAGTCCCCAGTATAGAAGTTAATGATGTCAAGATGAGTAATTTAATATTGATATTAATGGACACTATTATATATGATCGACAAAGTACTCTAGTTCAGTGGTGACAACTTCCATAATAAAAGCGTCACAGGAAAAAACGACAATTGCTAATAAGTTAATCTTTTACATATTACGGCGGTCATTGACTAATGCGCGTATCATAGACATCGTTACTACAATTGACCTTACTTACTAAAAACGACCAGTATTAAAACTCTGATGTATCTAAAATATCACTCAACAACGACAATTTTCAGAATAATATTATATACAGTAAAAACGTTAATCATTAATTACGGCCCGCGCGTGTTTGTATAACACGAATAACCTTACAGAAATTTAATACTAAGAGTGTCAAATAATTACTTATTTTGATTATTAAAAATATTGTTAGTACTTTTAATATTCGAAGTAATTATTTGGCACTTTCAATAACTCTTAAATTTCTGTAAGGGTATATTATTTCTATCTAATTACATCACGATAATGCGGCGTACTACTGGGTATAAATGTCAACGAAATATTATCCCAATATTAACCAAGTAAAGACTGCATCTTTTAAGTTATTGTTTTCAACAGAGGGCGATCGGTGTCGCGCGATCGATAGCGTCGCCTCTCAGCTTCTTCAGTGTAATTGTTACTCCCTGTTAATCGATTCTCGGTGGCATCAGTTGATCTTGTATGGTACTGATGGTCATCTTCTGCGGTACGTTATTCTGCACCTTGCCCGGCAGGAGATCCGGTGCCGCAGCGTTTTCCGCATTGCTCTCTTTGTAATGCCTTGCTGCGGCGGTGATCGTCATGCCCAGACCACCGAGTATCATGAGCCACATCATTATCCTGCAATGACAGACGATGAATCGAATATCCGCTGCAATATAGCTTCGGTGCGAGAACGCCTCACGAAAAAAATTTTTTTGCAAAATAATTTTTCAATACGAAAGGTCGAGACAATAACGCTTAGAAGTTTGCGAAAAGATCATAGATTAATAATGTCACTTACTTCGCGACTAAGATCTGTGTGTAAGCAACTTTCAGCGGTTTTATGAGAATTTTCCCGAGTTCGAGACCGTCCTCTATCCAGAATAGCGGGAACAGCACTTCCGGAAAGGACTTCATCAATCGAAGTTTGGGGACGGGTCCAACCAATACGTTGAATTGAATCTTTTTATATGCTTTTATGGGGGTGCCGGTCATCGGGTCGAAATTAAAAGTCATCCGGTGTTTCTCCTGCAAGCAGCATCTCTCGTCATAATTCTCATAATTTTCGTAATTGTTTGATAATTCATAATAACCTGCGCGGCCTGAAATTATCAGGTAAATTCATACGCTGTATCTTAAAATTTATTAATTTTAAACTTTTAAATTCCTTATTATTATTTCGATTAAATTAGTTTTATTTCTATCTCCCTTACTATATACACTTGAAATTAACTTTATACATATATTTATGTGAATTCTTATAGAATTACATAAAAATAAAAAAGCTACTTCGTATAGGTGAAACATTGTGGGGCGAAAAATAATAAACTATATTTATTTTGATGAGCTACAGCTGTTAAACTTACGGGATCGGGATTTACACCCTCGATCATTTCGAGCAATCGTGGATCGGAATCGCAAAAATGAGGTAGACTTATCCTTATAGGCACGTCCTTGCAGGGACCTGCGTTGAATATGTTCTTAGGCATGCACCCTTCGGGCTCGAGACAGAGACACCTCACATCCTCATCCTCAGATGGATTGCCCAGATCCGCCGTGTAGTGCAGCGTCTTGAAACCTGCGTTGCAAAATTATCTAACGAGATCACCTCACTGATTTCTTCAAGCCCAGCGTGTCTTAAACTCGGTGACCGACTGCTTAGCAGCTTTTTATAAAATTTTGAAGAAATATGTTTTTTTGTAGTAATGTTTTTTTTTATCAATTCATTTAAGTATATCCCGTATATTTTTACAATTCAATTTGATTTTTGCATTACATACGTTTGATAAATCAAACTCAGTACTTGATTAAAATTAAAATTTTCTATTAATTACTATCTACTAGTCTGCTAATCAATAAAATTAATAATTAATTCATTTTGCGTCAGACTATGATCATCAAATTTTGTGCTATCGTATCTTGCATTAGCGAAACATTTAAGAATTTGCAAGAGGTAAAACTTTCTTTTGGAAAATCATGAATACCTTGAACCTTTCCTGGTTCGATGTAATAAGCGCCGATACTTCGGCAAAGATCTAGGGAGTGTACCCAGACTTCTTTTTCCTTGTCGAGGAACGGGGGAAAAATAGTTCCGTCCGTGCCACGGAAGTCATTGCAAGGACTGCCGGTCCACATGTCCATCTTCGTTTCATTCCCTACCGTAAGCACACGACCTACGTCTTCGTAATTTTTAATTCCACGGTATACTCTTATGCGTCCCGGAAAATGGCTCCCGTTTGTCTAAAAGGCATAGATAACATTTAAAATGTACATTTATAAAAAAATGTTATATTTTTTAAAATTTAATCAGAGATAAAAAAATAATAACCCTGTGAGATTAATTACATCTCACTCGAATAAAATTATTGTATGACACATGCATATCCCAAATACTAAAATTTATTTAATTTTATTTTAATAATTTCTGACAACGGTAATATTTTGTTTTATAATTATCGTTGTATATAATTGAAATAATGCATTAGCATATAAAGATATTACTTCAAGATTGTATGTAAAATAGATAATATTTTTGAAGACAAAAAGACAAAAGACTTACTTCTTCTTTATTTTTATTAATAAGTGAAAACAATAGCGCAAAAAAGTTGTGATAATTGCGTGAATAATATGGTGCATTAATAAATAAAATGCATTAATTACCTTAGCGAGATAACCGAATCTATAACGTAAATCCTCTTCTTTGACTAATATCTGTTCCTTTTCCTGTAACGCGCTGCACACCGCGGATCCAGCGAAATCCTTTACATCCGTGCAGTCGAACGATATGCCGTGAAAGAACAAATCTTTCACAGTGGTTTTGACAAATATCGACTCGGGTTTTTTGAAAATACTGTCCAGCGCTTTGCCTAAAAAGATATCAATAATGTAAGAAGGAGAATGAGAGAATAATTACGTTTATTTTATCTTGTATAAAATTTTTAGAGAAAGAAAGAATATCGACGCGATCCTCGATTTACAAAATTCGATGAGAGACTGATCGATGTCCGAAATTGACAAAATTACGTAAATATCTATGCGTTAAGTATTACACTGAAGTAAATATTTAAATTTTTTTGATTGCATGTATATGCCGTGCTTTTGTTTTTTACACGTTATAAAAATACGTACTAATTACGCCCATCGTGGACGGCTTGTCTCTTTGAATAATCAGAGTTATCGCTATCATTATGGGATGAAACGCGTAAATTTCCACGGTCTCCGGCATGGCGCTCTTCTCCTGATTGAAATACCAAACTTGTCGCAAACTGTACTCAACAGTATCGTCTTCCTCCCGATCCACGACGTCTTCCTTATCTCGATACAAACTGAAAATTGATCAATCAATTTCGGCCAATCAATTACCATTATACTTTCATTATTTATTTATGTCTACTATAGATGTAAATTATTTAGTAAGAAGAGAAAATCTTTGCTTCTAAAATTAGATAAGGAAATTACACTTTTCAAATTCTCATAAAAATCTTAAATATGTTACACAAAAATTTGCACATGTGTTATTCGCAATATTCCTCATATTGAGAAATTCGAGATTCACGTTATTTTTACAAGAAATAAATTCCCTCGATAATCGTAAATTATCATATGAAAGAGATCACTTACTCGTAGTGAAAGGGTCCTAGTTCTTGGACAATAGGTTTTGCTCCTGATGCAATTTCATTTGGATTTGTTACATTGAAGACATAAATATTAAAATCCAGCGGTTGCGGAAGTTTCTCCCAAAAATCGCGTATTTCGGTCCCCTTCTTCAATCTAATTTGCTATAAATTTTGTAAAATACAGTACTTTGACACGAGAACTAAACTTTCTTCTCCTAAATGATATTCGAGAAATATAACACTTGACAGACCACACAGCAGTACTTTCGTTTCCAACATTAAATAAATGTTAATGAATATTGGTATAATTTTTACTTTAATAATCTTTAAACAAAAATATACAATCTGCATAGCAAAATTCATTTAAAATTAATTAGAAAAGATTTTCTTCTCAAAGCATTTGCAACTTTGAAATTGAATTCGTAGTGATCTGATACTGAAAGAATCTATCGTTCTTGCAATTCTGATTTCAATATTTCAAACAGAAGACTTGCTAGAGTGATGATACCGATGTCAATCAATCGCTACTTACCGATTTAACTTGCGACTTCAGCATCGAAGGAAATCCCAAAGTATAACTGATAAGTCCGATGGAGAACGTACAGGAACCGGCGAGTCCCAGTCTTTTCACGGACACCATATTAATCTGAGAACACACAACGTAAACTGAATTACATTTTCTGTCGCAAAGTGATTTCGACTGCAGACCGGCACCTTATATTCATCAATAATGTGTATCACGACGTTGAGAACTTTTCCGATTGTGAAAAAGGATAATAAACGCCTCACATTCGGATTACGTATCGCATCGTTTATTCGACGTAGAACACGACGCGTGCTATTCTCCAATCTTTCGAACATTTCTTGAGAAGCGTTCATTCGTTGCTCCGACATCTCAACTTTCGAAATAGACAAGTTCCTCGATTACCAAATTTGACAAAAATCTTGACTCCTAAAAATTGACAAAACCAACGATCTCTAAAGTCAACGAAGTCCTAAGTTATCAGAGTTAACGGATTTCGATATTTCTTTCCATATAGATCATAATTTTTAATTAATAGAATTCTAATAAAATCTTCGGTTTTCCAAACAAATATGAAGTGTTTAATTTAATTCCAAAATGATTAAGATCCTAGCTGTTTTTGAAAAATCTTCTCTCGATTTTTTAAATGGAGTTTATAAATTTTGTACTTCATTTTTCTATAAAATTCTGTTCTCGTGATGGTGTCTGTGGCACACCTGGGGAAATTCTTCTTCAAAGAGATTGTCGATGTGCGAATGTCCACTTCCGTCGTCGTCTTGCGTTCCGACCTCGGACGTCTTCTTGTTATCGGTCCTCCTCAGCAATTCTCATCGGCAAACTACCCGCTCCCCTGGAGTTGCTCTCATATTCACACGTTCTCACATACACATACATATCTTTATTTGTCCATTGACTGTGATTCGAGCTATTGCGACATCGGAGTATTGCGACTGCGCGATCAGCAGATTTATCGAATAGAAATAGCTTCTACAAGGAGCTTTTTTTCAGACTTTATGTGATATTTGTGTTTCTTGCGTTTATTAGCTAGAAAAGTGACTAAAATAATTATACATAAAAAATTAGATGAGCTGCAAATAAGTGAAGGATATTACTCTGCGCTTTCAAGATGGTGGCAACTTGAATCTTTAAGGAATACATTATACAGTCGGAAATATAAAATTTGTAATATTCAAAACAGACATGTATGTACGTTTCAAGAAATAACAGTAACAGTATATAATAAAAAAAATTTTTTTTAATAACATTTGAAAACATTTAAAACAGCAATGTATTATGTAACTGTGCTAAAAGAGTTTAAAAATCTAAACTCTTAATATTCGTATAATGTGTAATTAAAATATATTTATATAAACTGCAAAATAAAAAATCATACCAAATTTTTTTCAAAATCTTTCTATTTATTAAATTTAAAATAATAATTTAAATTCCTTAAAGATTAAGAGAGTCCAATATATCAAGTCAAAATTATCCGAATTGTGTGACAATTAGTAAAAAAATTTCCTAATAATACAAAATATAAAATATAATATATAAAACACAGTTTAGAAATCTATATGCACCTAATTAATTTCTTATTAACATAGAAATAATTGTATCACTTAAATTAAAAGTATTTTACTTCTGCTAAATACTTTAAAATATTAAATCTTGCTAACAATTAATTCTATAAAAATTTTGAAAAAAATTAGCAGGAAAATAATTTTTATAAAAAATATATTTATTTATTTATGTATAAGAATGTTATTAATCAAATTTTATATTAAATAAAGATACATACTTTGTCTATTTCTATCCATCGATTGTGCGCACGTTTGACGTACAGCTTATGACACATAGTGATATTCAATGAGATATATATGTACATATGCCGCGGTTTCCTAGTTTGCATCTACAAAATTTTTACATAATTAAATACAAAATACTTATCATATCGAAATTTTAAAACAAATGTATCTACAAAATTTTTAACATAACTAAATACAAAGTACTTGTCATATCAAAATTATAAACAAACTGTAAATGCTGTCAAAACAAATAAAATTCAAGCATGTTAATTCTCTAAGTAAAATGTAGCGAATCAACTGTAATTGTACATTTTTGAATTAATAAAGAAATAAATAGTTTCGAAATGTTATAATTTATATTAATTTATCATTTGACTAAAGTAGGTAAATTAAAAATATATTGAAAACTCAGGGTAATACAAAAATTAAAAAATTCCAATAATGCCGATATAGAAGATGGAAATAAGTTTATTTTTTTAAGTAGAATGTTTTGCGGATTGTTTTGAATTGATTTAGAGTTCATTTTCTTCGATCGCGACGGCGCGGCGATGTTTAAGTCGACTTCAAGTCAGTGTTACTGTTATGGATCCACGCCTTTGGTGTCAAGTGTAACGCCTATCGAGCGCAAAAGGCGCCGAAGAATCAATTAAATATGAGCTTGCTATAGATATCCTATAGCACTTGCTACGAGCAACTTCTATACATTATTACTTGCGTCTATCGTAGACGTAGTTACCGTAACCGAGGTCCCATTAAAATAAATTGCTACATAAGAAAACCGCTTGCGCGTAAGACACGAATGTAGAGATAAGCTACTTCTTCTAAAGAAATTGAAATCAAAGTTTGGAATGTGCATTCTAAAAAAAAAATACGACGCCGAAAGCAGCGCATTTTGTGATCACATGACACAACATTGCGAGAACAATTTTAACAATTAATTATTACTTTGTGTAACACAATATTTCAAATGCACATAGAGAAAGAGAAGAAATTAATTTCGATATAAATTAACATTTTCTTAGAGATGGTCAAATTTATCAGCACGCTAGATTATTATTAAGGCTAGATTATTATAAATTTAAAAAAAATTAAAATTATCTTTGAAAAAAACAAAACTTGTTAAATTTTTCAGTTTTCTAAATTAATTACGAACAATGCAGTACTTAAATAGCTGTAATAAGATTTTATTTTCACATTCTGTTCCATCCTTCAATCCTACACCTCTATTTTTTTAGTCTCAAGTTGTTGGAATATTTAGACTATGTGTTTAATTAAATCACAAACCAAACAGGTTGTCAAACAACATATGTTGTGTGTTATGTTGAATCCATAAGAAATTCGTCTTCCCAACATTGTAAATTGTGTCACGTAAATAAATAAATTGCACTCAACTATCTTATTCCATCACGAAAGTCGGATATTTTTTTACGCAATTTTTTCTACGAACGATTGTCAAATTTTTCATATGATGAGAAACTAATCACCAACATCGCGATCGCGATCAAAATCTCTCTTTGTACAGGCGAAGCATTCGCGCGCGTTCCGTTCTCTCGAAAGAGAGAAAATCCGCGTATCCACCTCGCTAAACGGATACTGAGAGCTGTGGCAGAGAGATAGCGGTTCACCGCGTAACGGGGTTACGGGTTTCTTTCAGATCATAATAGTAATCTGACGGATGACATGAACCTTTTCCCGGATGACATAGGGCGAGAACGTCCACGTGTTTTCTCGTTTTATTTACGGTGTGAACGATGTGAATAATAGTCGATAGACCGAGAAACCATCACGTGTGTTCACACGATCGCTGATATATCGAGATCGTGTATATAGCAGCCCTCTTAGCTAACGCTGCCCGTTTATCTCCCCTTACAATCTACTTGAAATCTGCTTACTAAATTCATTTTCAAAACTATTAATTTCCCCGTGTGAGAACAGGTAATAATTTTTTTCTGTGACTTAAGTTTGCGTTGAAATAAAATGCATATAAAACTGCGATATTCAAAACAGCAAAATAAAAATAATTGGAGATAACATACTTATAAGATATTAGGAATTGAGTTGTGCAATTTTCAAATGAATTGTATTCATTTTTATATAAAACAAGCTCTAATTAATATATAACAGCATTAAATAATAACATTTTTCTAAGCATAAGTTATAAAAAGACGTAATTATTTTTTCATTTATCTGTTTTTACTTACTTTAATGCAAATCGAAAATAATCAGTATAATTATTAAAAGCACAAATTATATTGCTTATCGAAAAAAGTATATTTAGAGATATGTAGAGCAGTATATTTCAATAATCTATCTACATCGAAAGATCTCTGTCAATCGCAATCGATCGGAGATAGCTGGAAATTCGCATATTTCTTCGGGAATTACTGAAAAATGTAGTTCTCGGACCTATAGACAAAAGTAGGATTATGTATACGCTTCCTAACGCGAGCGGTGGTAGTGCGCAACGCCTCGCCTAGCAATTCGCTCGTCAACAATGCATGAGAGAGCCGCTACGTGGAAAACGCGACCTTTCCCTATCGCTAGACTTTTCCGGTCGTAGGAGGTAGGCGCGACGTTTTTCCGCACCGCATCGCTCGATGCGCAAGCACGTGTGAGCCACGCGATGGCGTCTCATTGGTCGTTGAAATCTCCCTCCAGCGTGATAACAAAGTAGCTAAACGCAATAAGTACGCAAAATTTTTTATTATTTTTTAGAGAGGCATTTACCTACATCTTGTGCTATTTTATTATTTAAAGTGTTATTATTCAGGTAATCATGTATATGTGATTACCTTAATATTATTGATATATTATTCTTTTATTACTTTGATTTCTCACTTTTTTTTAATTTTTAAAATAATTGAAATTATTTACGGCTTGTAACATGCATGAGCAAAAAATATAAAGGAAAGGTCAACAACGAGCAATTTTTCTAGAGGTGTTATAGAATAATTTTATTATTCGCACATATGTGAGTCATAAAATTAAACAACTAAACGTTTCAATTTTAGAATCTTCTTCAATAAATCAAAGTTAAATTACGCGTAAATTATTAAATTATAACAAAGTGAAACTTAAAAGAATACAGTATATAATTGGATGCAGATCATTAAAAACAGGCAATTATCAACATCAAGGTTGTATACATAATTACCGAATGTCGACGTTATATAAAAAATAATAAATAATACAAAATAAAACATAATAAATAAAAAATAAGACATTAGAATTAGATCTATAGTTATACATAGGCTGTGTTAATTTTAAAACGTAATAAAAACAAATATATAATGCAATAATCGGTTGATAAAATTGATTCTTTGTTGCGAGACAAGAATATATTAAGTTCAAAGTGATGTGATTATCAATAAGGGATTGCCAAGTGATTAACGCAGGGATTTGGACCGAACTGAAATCGAAAACTGTTTTATAATCCTTTTTTTTTACTTTATTATAATCTAATAATTTAACGTAATTTATATATATTTATATATATTTCACATAATTTAATACTTTTGACTACTGAAGAAAATTCTGTAAAGTCGAAACATTTAGTTGTTTAATTTTTTAGCTCACATATGAATAATAAATTATTCAATAACACTCCTAGAAAAATTACTCGTTGTTGACCTCTTCTTTGTATTTTTTTTCTTTTAATTTTAGTAAGCACTGTAAGATAAAATATGCATTCTGTGTATTTATTTACATAATTATCGTTCTAAACAAAAAACATTCTAATGAAAAATATAAATTTCACAATTATAATAATAATTAGAAAGTAATACAATGTCTGACGAGTCATCGTAACTTCGTATGATCGCTTATTCTGGTTTTGATCAAGTCTCTTAGAAATAGAAATTACTGTCTTGTTCGAATATTTTAAAGCATATTTAAATATTAAATATTATTAAATGCACAAAGTATGGTATTTATATATAATAAAATGTAATAATTCAATTTAATAGATCATTAATGATGCTAACGTAGTTAGCAAGTTGAAGAGCAAGGACGTGCATAGTTTTTAACATTTTCCATTAGACAAAGCATAAATTGTTCTCACCTTGTAACTACCTCCGGAGTGCAACATTGTTACTGCATTAATTATGATAAAGATGCTTACTAATAGAACAAGTTCACGCCATTCATACGTGGTGACAGCAATATTATTCTCAAGGTTGCTCACTGATAGAAGAACATTTATTTGACCTCTCCATTCTTACGCTAAATTCGCGACAGGCAACAAAAAAGAAATAGAGGAATCCCAACAACGGGTGCACATATCCGACAAGTAAATTTCTTAACGAGATGTTTATTAAAAAGAGAGTGAAGTAAACGCGTACAAAAGCTCAGTACTAACACAGTAATCAATTTCTAATGTACATTTCAGTCAGGCAAGATTAATTATGAATAATAATTAATCAATAATATTATTTATCAATAATAAATCTGTAACAAAAACAAGACGACTGCGCTAATATCACTATATAAAAATTATAAGACACGTGTTGTATATCAGGACACGTGTTAAGTTACGTAGTTAATATTAGCGAAAATATATAATAGTATCGCCGCTGCGTTAAACGGAGCGGCGTTACCAACCGTGTGACTTATAGTGCGCGTGTATGGCGACCGGGTACGGCTTCGGCACGTGCACCGGCACAGCCACGTGCACCGGATACGGTCGGTCCACATGCACGATCTTCTCGAAGGCGACGGGATACGGTCTCGGTACCGGCACCGGCACGTGCACCGGCCGATCGACCGGGACGTGCACCGGCTTCTCGACCGGCACCGGGACCGGCCGGTCCACGTGGACGATCTTCTCCACGGCGACGGGATACGGCTTAGGCACCGGCACGGCGCGGTCGATGTGAATCGGCACGGGCACGGCGATGATCGGTATGGGCCTAGCGACCGGCACCGCCACGGGTACTGCTACCGGTTGCGGAACCGGGTGCGGCACCGGCTGCGGAACAGGCACAGGCACTGGCGCTAAAGCAGAGCACGAAAGTATTACAGATGTATATTCATTAATGTGTAGACAATAATATTAGGTCTAATTTAATATAACGAAAAAAATCTTCAAAGCAACGAAGGCTATTTATAGTGCAGGCAATTTATAGTAGGCGATTCCTTCTATAATTAAATTAATTTTTATATATTTTATAATTTAAATATTATTACGAAATTAAATTAATCAATTATGTATCGATATACTTCATGCTCAGAGTAAATTCAAAATCAATAAAGCTGAAATAAAAATTATCTCCAATAAAAATTTACTCACCAACTGGATGATGTCCGACGACGAACGGGGGTGACGGCTCCGGTACATATCCCGGATACCCGACGTCTGGTGCTGGAATTTCGTAAACCGGTGGTGGTAGACCATATATGTGTTCATGATGCTCGTGTAGACCATGTCCATCCAAACCATCTAGACCTCTTTTCCCGTGTTTCTTTGCCTCTATAAAAGCACCGTGCCGTTGCTTTGAATACTTGTCAACGGTAATGGCCGCACTGCTGGCCACCACCAGCATTATTATCTGTAAAAACGTGTTATGTCGAGATGATTTACGTTCTTACAAAATTCTCAATTTATTTTAAATAAATTATACAGTTATATAAAAATTGTGTCTAACTGTAATTTAATCAGATGTCAGAAACCGCATGAAATTTTTCCGAAACGTAACAACGCTTCGGAAAATAAAAATCTGATTGTACGTCTGATTACAAGTTTTAAAAAAGACTTGACTTGTGTACAATTCGTAATTTCACTTTGGTTACTAAACCTAACGTTTTTATTTTACGATATTAGATTATGATATTAATTTAGATTATTTTTTAAATAAAGGTGTTATAAAAGCACAATCATCGTAATGTACAAACGATGCACAAATCACTAAATTAACGTGCAGCGTGTTCTCCATTTATCGCCGCGGTGCATCCGAATGTAGATCGCGCGCGATTATCAAACGCGATCGCGACGGTAATAAAAAAACAAAAGCGAAAATTCGCGCTGGTACCAGAAGGAGCCTCATGATCGGTCGCTCAAGAGCTTCCAGTTGCCGGTCGCGATGCCGACGAAAAACTGACTTCGCTCCGGAATCGTGACCCCCATATGTATTTATAGGGCATCAACCGATGCGACGCATCGCCCGAACGAAGAAGAGGAGCGATTCTATGGGGCGATACACTTTCGCTGCTCGTCCGAACCTGGGCGGCAGCCAAATGGCGGCTGCTTTTCTCTCCTAGGAGGTCGAAACTCAGGTGACGAGGAAGAGACGCGCGAAAAATCCTGCAGCATACATTAGCGGCGCAGTCATAGCCGGAGGTTTACCAACGACTATTTGGTCTTCCGATCGTTAGATAGCCGCGATCGCGCGCCCGATACACGGAGAAAAAGTTACGATCGCTACAACAGAATAATAATGTTATTTTTAACCCATCTATACAAAATGGTTATAGAAATCATAGTACTCTGGAAGTGAGTTATGTTTGCTCCAACCTTAGTGAAGATAGCTGCTATATGGATATATGTATAGTCGTGGACATATCGGTTGTGACATTTTTTTTTTTAATAAATTTCAAAACGCACTAATATTTTGCAAATGCGAACCACGATTGGTCTACTGTCTTTAAATTAAAGATAGTACACCATCGTGGTTCGCATTTGCAAAATATTAGTTACCTATATAAAATATATATTATGTAAGTATATTAAATATATATATTAGAAACCTAAAAAAAAAAATGTCGCAACCGATCTGTCTACAACTGTACACAAGGCGTTAAAAATGCCTTCTCACTCGAAGAAGCGCGCATATCGGGCGCGTTCCAATCAAAAACGCGTTTTTCTCTCATCGCGTGACTTCGAGTGAGAACGCATTTGTGACACCGTCTGTACAACCTTAATGATTATCTCTAGGAATTGTTCCTGTAATCATAGTTATGCATGTTACGCTTTATTTTATCTTAAGCTAATGGTACTTACAATCCTTATATGTGTATGAAAACCATATACTATGATAAAATTATCTCCTTATTGATAAGACATTTGTAAGAATTTGAAAGTGTATTTGTTGGATACTGATAAAATTCAATTTAGCAAAGTGCATTTCTCAGGCGATTGTCATTATAGTTGATCTCCATTACCTTCCTGCCACTTATTTCTCTAACAGCGAGCTTTCCGAGACAATGGCTATATCTTACAAGATTGTTCGGTGACTCTTTGCTAAAGTAACTATGTGGCAAAAGAAAAAGGGGATATTTACAATGCATATACATATATTGTATATTAAGAAATATTTTTTATAGTTAATTTACTTAAAAGTAAAATCGTACATCTACAATAACGAGAATCGCCACATACACTTGTGACACACTTGTACACACTTTATTTTGTTCTTCGCGAGTGTAGACAAGACATATAAAATAATACTACTGCAATGGAACTGACAATGAATTCTTAGTGCTGTACCGTGCAACTATATCTTATAGATCTCTCAATCACACTATTTAAACTCTGTAAACTACATTAAAGAGACAACAATAATAATCTTTCGGTTGAGGCAACCATATATGAAGGCAATCTAATCAAATATTATTTATCCTAAAAATTACAGTTGCGAGAACAATATTGATGGGTATAGGCTTTAACAGATGCATTCAATATAATATCAATAACTTAAATTCACATACATTTCTTTTCCAAGCATACAGAATATCGTTGTAACAACCACGGCAATTTTTTCCGTGTATGTGATTCGATTCAATTCGCGTATACGATTGGCATCAGTCCGAGCGAAAAATGTATCGCATTGACATATAATTATATTATAAAACAAGTTTCGTTTAAACGCTGTATAATTCAGAACATCAAATAAATAAGGATTAACAATGGAATGGAATTCTATTTACAATTTTATATCCCGTGTGATGTGAAAGACACTGAAAGAATAAACACGGTAATACATACATGTAGGGTGTAACTTAAATACCGATCACTAATTACATAGCGTTATTCCTTGTAAAAAAACTGAGGCGAGAAATCCTGAACTATCTTTTTTCTACAGTGCTGAGTAAAGCGATCAGTACTGCAGTAATTACTGTTGAGCATTGTAGAGAAAAATGATTCTCAGGACTTTTCGATTCAGTTTCTTACGAAGAATAACTGTATGTAATTAGTGGTCGGTATTTAAGTTACACCCGATATTAGACGATGAAAGCAAAAGGAACGGGCATCGCGCTCTGTTGACAACTATATATATAAGGCAATACCAGGCGATAAACACGTGTTAGACTAAACAGTCTTTTTATATATATATAATATTAGTCTGTTCTGTGATTCCTTACGATTTTTTAAAAAGCCACGGTACCTCGATCTTCGATGGTATCGTTACCTTTTTTCAACATCCACGCGCGAACAAAAATTTTTTCTACGAAGCATGATAATATTAAAATCTAGAGGTGCGCTTTTCATACATGCGCATTATATACAACACAAAGACAAAGGCATTCCGTTTTAGTCGAACTGGGCACTTTCACATTTATATAACACGTACTACGCAAAATAAAACGTACAACCATATAAACTAAATAAAAATTATAAATTTTGTTACATATAAAAAAATTTTATGTACTTCATTTTATACATTAAATATACAAAATTATAAATTCTGTCTATTTTAAAATCGGATATGAATTATGGACCGTTTAAATTGTCACGAGATAATGCGATTCGTCAAGTAAGTCATCGGTGATTTCTCAATAGAATAAATAAATTTATTGTAATCAAGCAATGCACTGTTGTGCAAAAAATGAAGGTAATTTCTCGACAACGAGTTAACGAATTATCGTTTGATCAGTTAATTCATCAGTTTCGCGAGAGATGAAGATATGCGGCAGCGAATGCAAATCGCAACTTCGGTTTCCTTCAGCGTTCCACGGTGTCCTTTATTCGGTCAACGAGATCGAGACGGGGCGCATTTTCCTCTTCGCTTCCGCGTTAATCACCGTGGACTTTCCTAACTTTCATTTTCTAAGCTTCTAATGCCGTCGCGTTCCTAATGCCGGCCGCGCGCTACCCGCCATTCATTATTCATCGGCGAGTTCGAGCTGGCGAACTCGTAACAACACGCCCGATGACGCTTGGCCAAGGTTCGCCAGCCACGTATTGCGAATTAGCGAAATGCACACGTACGCGGTGGTGAAGTATAACAAAGAAACGGCCCGGTAAACGTGTAATCTGAGTGCCTCACCGAGGAAACAATGTTGTTACGAGGAAAACATTTGTTGCTTAAACAGTGTTCTCTCATTTCCTTTACGAAATTCTAAAAGCATAAATTTTAACTTGTTTCCTTTTTCTCTGTCTTCTATTATTCTTACATACAAATATATGTAATACAATATAACATTACCATATATTATATTATATATTATTATAATATAATATAAACATTTATATTATATTTAAACGTCTAAAATTTGCAAGGAATTAACTCAGTCAACACGTTGATCGTATCTCCTTAATTCATATCATATACAAAAAGGATAATAATATAGAAAGAGACAACACGTCTTATTAACTTAGAATTAGCTAATCCAGAGTATCAGCACGATTGAGAATTAACTGTTTCAATTGTACGTTATCAACGTTTATTCATCGCTCACAGCAGACAGTAATAAACGGCGCGCGGAATTCTTAGGCGTTTTCCTTTTCACTGTACGTGTGCGGAAGTGCGTTTCCAGGCATAATTAAAGAGGTATGAGGATGTAGGTAAGTAGTACGAGTGCCTTGATCGTCGAATGTAATTGCAGCGTCAACATTGCGAGCACGAGCGAGTAATCGGGCGGGAAACTGGTGTCGTTCTTGGCAGAAGACACGCAGGTGCTTGTTTCAATATTAAATAGTCTTCAGTATTATTTAATACATTAATCCATAATATTAAATATTATTTTATTAATTTGTTAAATAGCTCGATTTAATGTTAATTAATATTTATTGTACAATATATTTACTTTCTTATTTCATTCACCTATAGGCTTTACGTGTCTGACGTCACTTTGAAATGTCGCCGCAAACTGGATCGATCGCCGGCAACTTTCATCACCGGAAGTTCGGGGTAACGATCGAGAGGAGGGTGAGTTTCCGATTTGATCGTAAATGGGAACTTGATCTGTTCCTCGATCTGGACCCGTCAACTCGTCCCCGGTACGATTCGCAAATATAAAAGGCTTCCGTTGTTACGATCTTACGAACAGTTTGTCCGACGACGAGAGAGCAATGTCGAAGATCTTTGTAAGTAGCCGCACTTTATTCATTTAAATTGCGTAAATCGAGATTAAAGTTTGCATCAAATATAAAATATCTGGGTTGTAAACCGATTGACCAGTTTTTTCTGCAATTAAAAATTCTAGAGAGTTTTCAACTCTCTTGATTTATACAACGCATTAAATAGTTGAAAACTTTATAAGATATTAATTTATCAAAATTTGAATTAATTTACGATGGGGTGCTGTATTTCAGCTGTTCCTGACGTTACTATGCACCTACGCGGTCGCGTCGGTACCGAAAGATGCGAAGCAGCAAAAACGGGGCATTATCGGAAATGACGGATGGATCGGTCTATCGAGCCCTTATGGACATGGACAACCGTGGTCGATCGGCCACGCCCCTTGGAAAGGAGGACTCAAACTTCCCGAGGTCAATCTCCACGCAGGGTAAAAATATCTAATACACTTATTGAAAGTAATAAATGAGGTTCATATAATGTAGAATGATTTAGAGTAACCCTCTAAACCGTGTACACGTTTCGCATTAAATTTCAGCATTCTAAAATATAATCCCAATTAAAAAAGTATAAACTAACTGGCTAAATGAAGAATCGTGTATTCTTATTTGTTTAATGTACTTCCTAAAAATTATATCTAAAGACAATGCCGTTAACAATTATATTCACGAAAATATTCAGAACATCTCGTGTCGATCGACAGGTTGAACCTGGCAGGTGCGATTTATGGTAGAGGTGGCATCGCCCTAACACCCGGAATTCTGAAAACACTACCGGTGGTCATAACGAAGCACGTGGTGGTGGAGAAGCCGGTGCCAATTCCGGAGCCCATAATCATAGAGAAGCCGTATCACGTGCCGATACCAATCGAGAAGATCATTCACAAACCGGTCCCGGTCCCGATACCGGTACCTCAGGTAGCGTCTCGCCAATTTTACTTTCATCGGCGCGTGAAGTCTATTAATGATGATCACTTTTCCTTTAATTTGCGGTAATTTTGCAGAAAGTAATGATGGAAAAAAAATTGTGAAAATCTCTTAATATCTAAATCATATTGATAAGCAAATATTTTAAGCTGATATTCTAACGTAAAGATCAGCATAATGAAAAATGTCATTTTCTTTCAATCATATATCTCTGAAATTAATTTTTAAAAAAGCCTCGATTTTCAGTTAGAATTTTCAAAACTACAAATGATTTAATACATAAAAAATCATCTTTAAATTTCCCATTAAAATTACAATCGAAACTAGCATTCCTTTCATCGAACGTAATCAAAAAAATGCTTATTTGATATTGGATTTGGCGCATCAAAAACGCGTCTCTAAGGATTACCCCAATTAAATGCATGCATGGAAATCAAGGATTATTTTTCATATTTTTACCTCTTTCTATCTTCATTGATTTCTATCGAGACAAAAATCGCGATTAACCGAAACATTTTTTTTTTTTAATATACGCAGGCGGTTCCGGTTCCTGTGGAGCGCCCGGTGCCGTACCCGGTGAAGCAGCCGATCGCGGTGCCCGTGCAGCAGCCGTATCCGGTCCCGGTGAAGCACCCGGTGCCCGTGCCCGTGCCGGTGCCGGTCCCAGTACCGTTGGCCCCGCTGCCGCCCTTGCCGGTTCCCCCGGCGGCGGCGATCCCGCTGATTCCGACGGCCGCGGGCGGCCTCGCTGGCGCCATCTATGCGCGCGACTACGCATCCGATCATCTGTACGTCCACCCGCCGCCGTCGGCCGCCGTCGCCGCCGTGCACGGCGTGCACGGCGTGCACTTGGACCACGGCGGCATCGGCGGCATCGGCGGCATCGCCCCCCTCGCCCACGGCTTCGGCCATGGGCTTCTCGGTCACGTGCTGGCGCACGGTTACGGCCACGGTTACGATCACCACGATGCCCACATCGCCCATGTCGACCATCTTGTCCATGGGCACGAGCACAAAAAGAGGAAGACCGACAAGAACTGATTCTCGAACAGGGGCCAGGGGGAGAGAACCGGAGGGTCGTCGAAATGTTGTATATAAAATCGAGGGACATATAATATAGCTCGTCCGACGCGTCCCGTTTATGTATATAAATTTAAGGGAGATGTCAGTAGAATAAATGGAAGAATTCTAATTTACGTATCCTGTGGTTATAAATTCTTCGGAATTCTCGTTGAAATTGTATGTACATAATAAACCGCGAGGGGCTTTCTGTGAGAATGGTAACAGCGAGGGTTTCTAACGCTTTGCACGTCACAAAAAAAAATGCAAAGTGGATGCGCTCGGGCAATGCGAAAAGCCAGAAATTAACTGCGTCACGTTTTTGAGGAGCCTCGAGAAAGCTAGAAGCTTGAAAAATTTAGATCTAGATAATTTTTCCATTTTTTTTTCTTATAATTCTTGGCACAATTTTTCTTCCTATTTTACGCGTCGTCGTTACATCGGAAATAGATCACACGTTCTCATCGTGTTTACATTAAAGTATAAGAGATTAGCGAGACAAATATTATATCTAGGCAAAACTTGTATACCTAGAAAATCACTTTGTTGGATAATAACGTGATGATAATAAAATAGCTTCAAAACTATATACATTTAATAAGCCACGTGTCGCATTGTAAATTCATAAAGCATAGCATCGTGCGTCACATTTTTTAATAGTTCAGTCAATACAAATTTTCGAAGGACACTGTATATATGGCGAAGAAAGAGAGAGAAAGGCAGAGAGAGAAAAAGAACAAGAGAAAGAGGAGAGAGAGAGAGGGAGAGAGAGAGAGAGAGAGAGGAGAGGAGAGCGAAAGAAAAGAGGGGAGAGAGAGAGAGAGAGAGAGAAAGGGAGGGAGAGAAAGGGAGGGAAGAAATACTTTCACGCTGAAAGACCCAATTTCATTTTAACTTAATACAGCCGAAAAAAATAACGTGATTTTATCTCGTAATCTGCGAGTGACGAATGAGCATTAAAAGGGATCGTTGCAAACGAGAAGAAATCGAGAAATGTCTTTGCCTCCTCCTCCTCCTTCCCATCAAACAGGAAGTTCGTTTAAAACAAAATAGGCGAATATCCGGGGCCTCTGGGTGTGTTGTCCGAGGGGAAGAGGAGGCTGGGAGAAGGCAAAAGAGATCAACACCGAGCGCGCACATTCTTCCTTTCCTCCCTTCTTTCTTTCTTTCTTTCTTTCCCATCGATTCGCGCGGCCGCGAGCTGCCACACGGGTCCGTTATCGAGCCCTTTCTACTCGTGAAACCAGAACGGAGGACACGGTAAGAGCGCGGCGGGTAAGCGACGCTACGGCATGGCGAACGAGATCGTTCGGTCTCTCTCTCTCACATCCGTTTCGTGGAACAGCTGATCCAGCGTTGCCGAGGGAGAGAAAAACGCCGAGGGTGGTACGTGTTTTCCCTGGAACGAGAGCCCCCGTCTCTCACGAGAGCGTCGGAGACACGCGGGGCGTTTCCGCGGGCTTCCTCTCTTCGCGCCGTGCCACTCTGGGAACAGCGGAACACGCACGGCCATGCGTCCGGAGAGATCCGGATCCCGGAAAAATCAATGCGCGGGGGTGCGACGTGACGGCGCGTCGTCGTGAAACGCGCGACACACCGGGCCCTCCCCGTCGGCTATGCGACGGCTGTCGACGACACACGTGAGTACACACGCCAGGTTCTTCATGCGAGATTGCGGCGAGATTTCGCACGTTCTCTCATGTACGCCGTACGTGCTGTTCAAACAGATACACACGCCGAGGTGTCACGTAGGTTATGTCACACGACGTCTGGCGGATTGTAAACACACGTAACCCCGTCGCACCCGATCGTGTAATATAACAGCGTCGATGAGGCGGCGCGACCTGAAGACTGACAAGATGCTGAAGCTGGACGAGATCGAGGGCGAGAACGTGGCGAGAACTAAGAAGGCGAGGAAGACCGCGGAGGAGAAGAAGAGCAAGGGCCACAGGAAGAGCAAGCATGCTAGCGGCAGCGGGCGAAAGCTGCGGAATAACAGCGGCAACAACGTCATGGAGGCCGTGCCGCACAAGGTGGAGCCTCCGGACGAGGAGACGCCGCTGGACCTGCTGTATCCCTCCGGGGTGTCCTGCAAGATCGAGCCGTCTGTGTCCGGCGAGGACAATTACAATTATCTAATGCCGCCCCTGGAGTCTCTCGAGGACGCCGGGGCGATGAGGATGGAGGAGCTGTTCGAGCAGAGCGTGCACAAGCTCTCGAAGAGTCAAAAGAACGGCAGGTGGAAGCACAGCTACAACAAGATGGTGTACCTGCGGAAGTACGCGGCCAGCAGCGATCGGGCGGCGCAGGACGAGACCAGCCAGAGCACGTCCTCCGAGGAGCACGAGCGTATCCCCAAGATCGAGGACATGACGTACGACAGCGCGGATCAGATCAAGAGGGACAAGAAGTGGGCGAAGAAGCTGAATCCCCTTTCGCTGCACTACACGGACAAGAAGAGGCCCTACCTGAAGTGTCCCGCGTGCGGCGCGACGTTCTTCAGTCCGAACACGTATCAGAGGCACCTGCTCTCGCACCTGCACATGACGACGGAGAGTTGTTACATGTGTAATTTTTGCAATTACTCGAACGCGGAGCCCGGAATGCTATTTGCTCACTTGACCAAGCATCAGAACCAATGCGAGTCCTGCAACGAGAGCCTGCTGCGCAAGGACAACTACGAGAACCACTATCAGTGCTCGACCGCCCTGGTGGAGTACGGTCTGAAGCGCGATCATCACGGGATGTTCGCCTGCGCGGTCTGCGAATTGGTGTTCGACATCCTGGCGCAGCTGGAGAAGCACTGGTTCAAGCACACCTGCACGAAGCAGAAGTCGTATCAGTGCAACGAGTGCAGCGGCATGTACGAGAACATGGAGACCCTGAAGAATCACATATGCCTCAAGTGTCCGATCTGCGGCGAGGTGTACGAGAGCCTCCACCGGCTCAAGATCCACACGATGTGGACGAAGCACAACCTGAAGTGTCCGATCTGCACGTACGAATTCATTCTCACCATGGACCACGAGAAGCACATGGCCCTGCACAGAAAGGTTTACCAGCCCATGAAGGACTACATGCACTGTTTGCGCGCGGCCGACGGTAAGACGTTTCAATGCAATCTGTGCGACAAGATATTTTACGCCTTACCCGCCCTACTCACGCATCTCACCGAGGACCACAACGTGGGGAATGTAAAAGTGGAGGAGGAGGAGGAGGAGGAGGAGATGGAGGACGAGCTGAACGGTGACGACGGTTACGAACTCAAGGGGGACGCTATCGATATCGTTGTAGTTCCTGACTTTAAAGATTCCGACAGCTACTACGACAACAAGATCGAGCCGTTGCAGCAGGAAACCGATCTCTACGATCCGTCATAAGGACGAGAAAGTGAATATCGCTCGAGCTTGAATCGTGACGAACGCGACAAACTCTTTCCTGCGAACAGTCGTTAAACTTTTACCGTCGAACATCTTCTCGAGCATTCGCGTAATAGTGATACTCAAGTCGGACTATAAAATAAAACTGATACAATTGTAAGTGCCGTTTATAGATGTAACTCATGCGCTATTTTTAAAAGTGTATCGTTTGCTTCAGGATTTTGATATCAATTTATACCACAGACCGTTAATTTTACATAGAACATGTTACATTCTTCTTCTTTCTCTTGTTAAGTAAAGTATATCGATGATAATTAAACACATATATTAGCGATCCGAAAGATAGATAAGGAAAGAAAAATAGATACGGAAACAGATAGTTGTGAAACGATCGAAATAGCAGGTATTTTCTGATGAACCTAGTAGCGAATTCGACTGCTTGCGCTGCTCCGCGCTGATATACTAAAGACTGTATTGTATTTAAAATTATTAAAATAAAAAAATATAATACATTAACATTAATCGATGAGAAATACCAGGTATATTTGAGGTAGAATATATGGAATATATGTTGCACTTCATCGGCCACGGCTATTTTTGCATTTAGATAATTTCGCGTATAATACAGCTTTTCATGTGTATCAACGTGGAGTGGTGCGGTCGAATTCTCTATACGCTATCGTCAGAAAATTTAGGAACACATTCAGATAAGCAGTTACTGATAATATCGATTGTCATCCATTTTGCAAAAGCAGCTTCGAAACGAGGAGCTATGATGATTGTGGTGCTCATTAAACATTATTTTACAAATTTACTTTTCTTTTGGTTCGCTGTGTTTGTTAGCGTGTTAAAAAGAGATTTTGCAGAATTTAATTACTATATAATATAAATATATGTGTGTAGAGATTTATATATTATATTATGCGCAGTAATTATATTAATAGATTTGTTCCGCAAATGAAAATAAAGTTTGAGTCCTGAGAATTCTGCAAGTTTTTTCATGATGTTCTATTGCCATCGTTTGCGGTTTCAAATATAATTTTTTTTTTAATTCAATTAATTATTGAATACGTATGTACGAAAAGTGCAATGTGATAAGTTTAATTTTAAAAATAATTGCTAGATATTATATATATATATTATAATTTTTCATTTTTATTAATTATATGTACATTATATCTTTTATTTTTTTTTGTTTTATTTTTATTTATAAGACTGAAATTCCGTTAACTTTCACTTTCTGCTTTGTGTTCCTGAATTTTCCAATCAACGCAAGTCTCTTTTTCTACAAGACCCTAAATACGGAATAGATACAAATTATAAATTTGTAATGTAAATACATTCCGCTATCACACTTGACGCTCACATTATGCGAATTATCCGTTCCGAAAGATTGCGTCGCGTATGCAATAAATTTTTCTTACAGCCTGTAAAGGTATATGTACATATACTGATCGCATTATAGGTTTTAAAATCTCATCGTGTATATTACGTACATGTCAAATAGTGTATGTTTATATAACATTCTTTTAATTATTCCTATATTGAAATATATTTAAAAAAGCGATATTCCGAGCTATCAGTCCTGCTGTAGCCTGATAATCATAGCGTCTCGCTACAATTAGCTTCGTTAATTTTAATCAATTTCGTTTCGTGAAATCTGGCATTTCCTAGAGATATAATCGGCGCGTGAGACGCGCGGCACAGTTCTCGCAACGTTTTTTTTTTTTACAGTAACGTGATGAATCACGTGGGGGGGGGGGGATACTAAACGCGATTTTATAATGCATGATAAACACTCGGAAACACCTCGTATGGTCATATTTACGCGGGTCGTTCAAATTCACTCGTGCGTCAGGAAATATCTTGCGGCGTATGTAAATCTAATGTCGTAGGCCTACGCTATTATATAGTTTCACATCAAGAATTTCAGCTCTGTTATGTATTCGTTCTGAAAAATAAATGTTCATTAACAATATTCTCCTTTGTATATGAATATCATTTTTTTTTAAATATATATATATATCAAAGCAGAGCAAGTAAAATATCAATTCTCATGATCATAAAAATCAGAATCATTCGATCTCTCATTCTCTCTCTATCAATCGGCATTTGATTCGTATGCAATTTTCGAACGAAAAAACCAAGCTTGAAAATCTTCATTTCTACGACAACAAGAATTAAGATGTTTGCTGAACACACAATTATCATACAATTACATTATATATCACGTAGACGTACATATATAATCGTCGATCATCCGTAATAATTCTCAAGTATATTTTACAATATGTTTTTTCCTTACAATTAGTACGCGCACACACGTCGACTATGAAGAGTTTGCGTATTTAACAGACGATAAATATACGCTTTATTAATTATAATTCGTCCACTTTTATATATGTATATATCTTACTTTTCTATTTGAAATCGTTCGGAAATATTGTAAAAATAAAGTTGGTTTCTCTCGAGATGCTTCTAGTCGTAAGTATGATATCCTCGCCGAAGAAAAAAGAACCACAGCCGATCATTTCAAGCCTTTATCCATTGCTCCACGTAATCGAGCGCGCCCGAAAGAATTCTCTTTTCCGTGACCCTCAGCTGAACCGCCATCTTTTTCGTCTGCGGCAACGTGGTATCCAGCAGCTCCAGATCCTCCTGCGAAAAAAAAAAAGGAAACATTCGTATATATTGACTAACCGCCTCGCGCGATCGATAAGGGGAAGGCAGAGAGTAAAGGCAGACGGCGCAACGTTCGGCGAGTTTCACTTTCACCTTCAGTGTTGTCGGATAATTAGCGATTAAAAGCTGCAGCCTGGTCAGCAAAAATTTTCTGACATTCTCCTCGACGACCGTCTCCAGCGCGCAGTCCACGTGCTTCAGGTCGAAGACCTTGTCCGAGCGTAGCCAATGCGTGAGCTCGGCTTTTCGCATGCTGAACACCCGCAAGAAGGCTAACAGCGTATCGGAGATGGGCTCCGTGCCCGGCTTCAGCAAAAATTCCCCTACCGACGGCAGATCCAGTTTGCCCAGCAGCTCGATCCGCTCCTTCTGCAGGGAGTCCGCTTTGCTAATGCCGAGACGAAGCTTAAAGCCGTCCTGTAACACACCACGTTGCAACATATAGCGCCCGTCGCTTGTAAATAACGTATATACGGAGATTCGAATTGTGAAATTCGCTCCTCGCTCCTCGATAAGATCGGCGCCGATCTCTCCTTGGCAAAGATATTACTGGACATCAGTTGCCTTCACGCGATTTGCAAGCTCCGATATTAAAACTCTTTAGCAACAGAATGATGTGATTCTTTTTTTTTTTTAAATAAATAAATAAATGCGCATTACTTGTTCGTTATCCATGCAGACGAATCCCGAGTGCACGAAGAAATCGGAGTTGGTTCTCGGGCCGTAACTTATGAACACCTGCTCCCCTTTCTTGAAGCCCCTCAGCGCGTAGCACTCGCAGCGATCCGAGGTCGCGTTGAAGTCCGTCGTAATCTATACGGTAAACGACAAAGAAAACGCATTATTGTTCGTCCGCGCCGGGCTCATTATAACTCCACTGACTTACCCTTCCGTTCTCGTGATTGCACATATCCCACATCGGGATTAAAGCGTGTATCATGCGCGAACCGTCCGGACTCGGGACCAGGTTCTGCCTCGTCATCACCGTGGAGACTGCCCAGCTGAAAAATTCATTCGACATTATTATCGGTATCTCTGTTACATCGCTTAATTAAGATTCCTCGGCTCGATAGATGAGATCTTTCGAATCTTCTCGAACGAAAATACAATCCAAGAGCCGAACGAGAGACGCACGAATTTCCGAGCTCGAGGTGAAATCCGGCTATCAAAAGTCGCCGTTACGACGAATGCGTGCGTACGCCGCGTCAATCTCCACGGAGCGTGAAGCGCTTTCGCCTTCGGAGCGAAATTGAGGAAGAACATTGTTAACTCGCCGCCGGGCAGGCGGCTGCTTTTCGGACACACGAGAACTTGACCCCATTCCGGAAATGAACATATATACGAGAGGGATTTCATTACCGCAGCTACTGCCGCATCCGTTAGGCGAGAAGCGAACTTTCTCTCTCTCTCTCTCTTTTTTTCTCTATCCGGAGAAACGCGCGCTTACCGTTACCGTCGCGCGCGTCCTCCACGTGGGAGACGATCGCGTGTTACTCTCGTTCAACCGGGATTTCATCGCCCGTGCATATAATAAGGTCCATATAAACGCGCCTACACCGTCGACGACCACCGTGCCAGTTGCGTGATCGAGCTCTTCCTCGTACAGAGGAAATTAATTCTAGTAAACCGTGTCAAGCAAATGACCCTTGAATATGCTCATTGTCCACCGAGGATACGATTTATTACTCCTACAGCTCTTTCGCTTCTACTGCTCAAATTTAATATTTCATACAATTTAAAATTCGGAAGAAAGTCGGGGAGTTCATTTCCCAAGGCGTCGTGGGTCCGTTAAAAAATAGCGATTAGAAATATTCTACAACAAATATAATTGTCCATCAGTTAATTATAAACAGCTTTGTAATATATAGAGATTATATAAAAATTTGTAATGTATCCAATTCTTATTTTCTAATACAGTCTTGCACATTTTTTCTTGAGATTTAAATGGAAATAAGTTCTCTTTAATGGAATGGAGCTCAATTTGCACAGTTCTACGCAGTTAGTCTCGAATTATATCTTGAAAATCAAGATTGTCTGGCATTAGAGGCCAGCGAGATTGATTCGCGAAAAAGTCAACGACCCTGTGCGCGAAATATTTAGATTCGATCGGGAGATAGGCTCGAAAGAAACAGGTTCGCCAGTCGCGGGGTTTTCTCCTATGCAATAACCGCAAAATGATACGTCACCACTTGGCGCTCGAGCTTGGCTGTAATCTATTACGCCGCGCGTCGAAAAAAATTGCAAATAATCAATAGACAGGAGCAATCGTGTCGTAACAACAATAGAAATGAAATTTCAGTGAAAAGAAGGCTCTCTCGTCGTAATAATAAATAGAAAAGTCCAGGCGTCTTCAACCGCAATACGCGTCGACACCGCGCCGCGCCGCGGCCGGTTCGCCTCTTACGATAAAAGAGAAGAATAAAATTTCACGGTCCGTCGACAGTCCGCTGCATTTATAGCGGCACGAGTTTATAATTTCGTGTAACTCCAGAGAGTCGCGCGAAGCGTGTCTTGCGGGCAAACAAGAAACTGCAACGCACGGCGAATTTACTCGTGCGTTAAGAGCAATGATAGCACGCGCGCGCGCGCGCATTCGTGCGTCAGCGTGAGCGCGCTGAAAAATTGAATTTTCGAAAAAGAATTTCGATGAAACCGTGAGATTTCGCTTTTGACACGCTTCGTAATTCGCATGTTGCAATCAGATCATCGCGGTGTTTAGCGCGCGAGGTTTTCGTTCCATATACACACATTTCTTTTTTCCATGCGAAATCAGTGTAACAATGCAGATACAATCGTATCGTAAGGCGATCGTAATCGAAACTCTGTCGCAGCTTTGTTCCGTATACGCGTCAGAACGCTTTCGCTTCTAAAATCGTCGCGCGTAAAAATTCGCGTTATCATTGTAAAAACCGCGCGCCGTGAAGAACGTTTCGTTCTCCTTTAAAACACCCGCGCGCGCGGAGATTGCTAATCGAGATGCGCTATATAGGAAGGCCGGATTTGTCATGAAAGTACGAGATCCGTGTGAAAGTGCGCGAAGCGGCGCCGGGCTCTTTACGAGTTCCTTGGCTCTCTCGCGCGGACCGAGAAATACGCGAGGCGAGGGATATCGCCGAGAGTTAGCGAGAAGCGCGCGCGCACACGTTCTCTAATGTTCTCGCTCGAGGAAAAGGCCCCGCACCGCCGCCGTTTCCTCGACTACGCTTCCAATCGCTCCGCGTTCCGTTTATTTGCATACGAGCGTGCGTGCGCGCGTGTGCGTGCGTGCCGCATGCTGCGAAAGCGATCACGCGTGTCTTTCGGCGGGGTTCGCGCGACGGCGTTCACCAACGCTGTCGCTGTAACGAACTCATTAAACAATAACGCACTGGTGAACGCGAGCCATATCACGCGCAAACGTTTCTGACGTGCTGCGCGATCGTTTTCACCTTAAACAGACAAAATTTGTTCGCGGCAAAAATTTCTGTCGTATATATTTACATTTGTTTACGTGAGGTAATTGCGATGCTTTTAAAATAACTATATCAGCACATTATTATCAATGGAAATATGAAAGTGTAATATATATTATATTAAAATTATAATAATACCGTACGAGTCATTCCTATACAAATATAAATAGGAATCTTATAAGGTCTCTCGAAGAATTTTGTTTATATTTACAGAAATGACATATTCATATTGTTAACTTAATTAAATTGATTGCTAAATCCGAGCTACAGTGGGTAGCTCAACTACGTCATTGCCGTCAATATTAGCATACATGTCATATGCGTATAAGAAAAGGATTGCTCAAAGGTTGCCCAAGTTCTCATAATGCGAAATTGACGAGCGCATATAAATATATATATAAATATTTCGTCATAATACGCGCTCCAAAGTCTCTATCATGACGTGTAATATTATAGTTAACCGGGACAGGAACACGTACATTGCAGGATGGTATTCCCGCGTTAGAAATCTCGAACTGCCAACGCAGCGTTTTGCAGCAATCATTAATCAACGTGAATTCAATACAGTGCTTGCGTACGGTGCCCGCTGTGACATTTACGTATCGAATGTAAAAAAAAAACCATCGGGATATAAACTAGGTCACCAGGAACTGCGTATCTAACTAAAAAGCGCAAAGGTTTTCCATCTAAAAATTAATATTTCCTACGTATCTCTCTCTTAAACGGCTTTCATAGATATAAACTCCAGACGATCAACGGAGTAAATACTTTAGCGAAAAATTCAGCGCAGAGTTTGGATGCAAAAAGTGAGGGATATCTCAATGAAAGAGAAAGACACCTTTTATCGTCCGGCGCATTATATTTTCTTACACGTTAGATTGGAAAGTATATCGCCGGTGTTTTCGTGCGGCAGTATATCCATCATCCTTGTGGGTTACGAGAACACGGGATTTCATTACGTACAGTAAACTAAGGCGATCGCTATTATTTCCAACGTGTCCGAGGCCGGTCGCGTCCCTTCGCCGCGGCGCGCTCGCTTAGATCGCGTAGAAAGTGTGCATAAAGAAGATCTCACGATCTATACGATTCATCGCGCGACCTTCTCACGTGCGCTGCCGAGTGTGTGCATCCATCCCCGACGTGCTGTTATTAGTGAAGCCCATATATCAAGCGATCTATAACTGATGCTTATTTCCCAAACATCGAGAGTCCATGAGTTTACATTCAATTAAGATAAAGATCACCATTCTTTGTGTATAGAAAGCTTAATTCATTAATTTATTTTATTTACATTTAATTAATTATAATAACGTTTTGTGTCGCGGGAATTGAAAGCCTCCCTGAAAGAAAGGCGCACGATACTGTAGTATGTCAATTTCTACCTCATTCATCTCTCATGGATCGTCTGAGGCGAGATTAAGACAATGGAGCCTGCTCCTCTCCGATGTCTATCTGCGCCACAACGACGAATTGCGAAAGAGACGGCGTCGTCATTATCCTTGTCATTGTTGTCATTACCCTCGTCATTATCGTTATATCGTCGCCGCTTCACCGTGGTTCATTAGCGGACGAACCGTCGTGACAGCCGCGCTCTCAAGCTGTCGCGCCGCGCCGGGGGGAAACCCTCGTTAATTTCCCTCCGTCGCGTTACGTGTTAATCCGCGAGCCGTCCGCGCGTTTATAACTAGCTGCATAATGCGATAATTGGTACAAACTTTTCGCGAGAAACGACGGATTCACACGCGAGCTTCTTTCGGGAAACAAGGGATTTCGTTGCCGGGCATAGCGGCCAACTAAAGTTCTTCCCGCGTAACAGTGACCTATACGAGCTATGAGAAAAAGAAGTTGTTTGTTACTTTAATAATTCGCTGCTTTAAATTCGTGAAAGTATACAGTAGGCCGAATGAAAGAGTTATAAATGCACAAAGGGAAGACGATGAAAATGGTCGCCAACCTTATAAGCGCTGAACTTCTGCCAATATTAAAGCTTCGCTGGAGCAATTCGTAAGATATAACATCGTAACTCTCAGGAAATTATTACACAAATTTCGTCGGCAAAGGGGTATGATTTTAAGAAGAGGAGAAAGGAGGAGAAATCACGGCTGTGTTATAAGTATTGTCTACGTAAATTACGCGTAAAAGAATAGTTTGCATAGCCTCTGTTGTTGCAAACGATCGACACACTTCTCCACTTTGTGCTCGCATTTGCTGCTCGTAATTTGTAATGCCGCAACGTGCATTAAATACACGCCGGGCAAAAAAAAAACGCGATGTACGCGATTCCACCTGCCCTGCTTCTCCGATCGCGCGGGAAATAACTCCGCGACTTTGTATCTTTTCGATAATGATATGCAATCTACATACATATAGAGAGCTTTAATAGACGATTTAAAAAAAAACAAACGCATCGCGTGTATATTATATCGCGTAGAATTAATGCCCGCGATTCGCATGATTTATCGCTATACACGTTCAGGTATATACGGAGAGATATATACACGCGGAGAGTCGCGTGAAATCCCGCGAGCGCGAGTTTTTATCGCGATTGAAGGTTCAACGGTGACAGATATACGCACGCGGCACTCGCGTTAACAGGGTTTTCGCGTCGAGTTACTTAACGACTTCCTCCTTCCCATGCAAGTCCGCTGGAACCGCGGCCGCGCGGAGCGGGAAGAATTCAATCGTGCAGTCAATCGCGCGATAGGTAAAACCAATAATTGAGATATTAGCGAGTAAATTAACAGCCTATCGATTCTCTAACGACCGCCATCGCGAGCCATTACATTTCTTTATGTTGCCAACCAGCGATTATTTAATCGTGCACACATACAAGCATATAATACCCTTGCGTCATAATTCTCACGATAGTGCTTTCTTCCTCTCTCGCAATTATTACCTATATACATAAGACATGTATTGAATGTTCCATATCAAGTTTCCGTACCAAGTATTTTGCATATCCCCACAGAAAGAACGTAATCCTCGCAATTGTGCTTATAATTAATATTCCATTTTAATGCCCGGACATTTGATACTTCGAATATTCTCTGGACTAGTATCTAAACTTTCTCCGACGTCGTTCTTCTTCTTCTTTTTCTCGCGACGCGAAATACATAACACGCTTCCCAATTTGGGATGGCGAGGGCACTTCTTCGCCAATCGCGGATACTGGGGCCGATCGAATCGCTCTGGCTTGCGGTCCGCGTGCAGCGATTAATACCGGAATTCATCTCTCCGTGCCGGCGACTCGCACGGGAACATCCCGTCGAGAGCGGGCGATCGCGAGTAGGCAGCGCGAGGTAGACACTCGCGGTGGAAGACTCTTTTACCTCCTCTCGAGTTTCACCGGCTTACTTTAGGAGCGCGCGCGGAGAAAAGCGACGTCAGTTCGCAGGGGCGATTTGCCGAGAGCGCAGACGAGCGCGCGTCCGAGCCCGCGAAAGTTTTATAATACCCGATTATCGCGCGAGACACACGCGAGCGAAGTTCTCTTTCGCGGGATCGAAAACATGGAGAACGCGGATCGTGACGTCCCCCGTGTGGTGATCAAAACGAGATCTCTGTGACACGGAGATAAAAGGAAAATTGAGAGAGCGAGAAGGTGAGGAAGGGTGCAAAGTGAGAAAAGCTGCCGGACGATATTCCCAAGAGCTCTCGCGGAGTTTCGTTTCGTTGAACCGAATATCTCCTGGCAGGCCCGAGTGCAAACACGATGGATTAGATAAACTGATACACCGAACTAATTAATAATTATCTCAGTGCATCGCGAAGATAATTACGCAGAGAGATTAATTACGAGATCGTTCCGTCGTAACTATTGTGTGATCTCGCAAAATCTCTGACGGATATTGACGGATTGGGGGGGGGGACCTCGAGTGCACCGTTCGCCTGCATGGTTCTTGAGGGGATCCCGAGTTTGTGCAATCGGAAGAACGTGATCTTCGTTATTCTGTGCGCCGCGGTGATTTACGTGCACCTCGTGCTCGCGAGGAGCGACGAGACGAAGTGTCGTAGCGGCGGAAGGGGATCGCGGTGTCGCGAGGACGAGGCATTGAGGTTCCTGATCGCCCTGTAACTATGCGGAAGGTGTTCCCCGTGCTCGCGCTCATCGCATTCGCGTGTGACATCTCGCGCGACGTTCTCGTCCACGGCGATCCCGCGAGGAAGCCGGAAGCTGCGGGACGAAGCGGCGGCTATGAGTATCAGGTAACCGCGAGACAAGCGTTCGTTTTCTTGCTTCGATCAGCAACTCCGTGATACGAATTTGCGACGACGAAAGTGTAGCATTCTTCCGAGTAAACGAGCTGTCACGTGCGTGTGAAATCCTTCATCCAACTCGAACGGAGAACTCATCGAAAAATGAGTCAATAGATTTTTTTTTTTTTCGAGAATTCGAATAGAGAAATTATCGAAAAATTACAAATTTATTTTAAAATTAGCCAAAGAGCTAATTTAAATTAAATTTGCCGTAAATAATATTGCAAATTATAAAATGAAAGTTTTTTTTATATAATATTCAAGTTTCCAAGAGTAATTTTTATTATATTAGGAAGTAACATTGATTTTTCTGTTTTTGAGAATTTCACTAATTTTAGTGTAAAGTAACTGTCTGGAGTAATATTTTAGACGCGTTTTATCCGATCGCAAAGCCGAAAGTCATACCTCTGACACTTTCAACCGGTCGTGATTTTTTCGTAAAACTAGTAGATTGCGAAATTTTTTTGTGACATTTCTACCGACATTCGTCACGCGGTGCCTCTGAATGATTACAAGTCGGGCAAGACCGACAGATATACATGCACATGAGTATAAACATGTTTTGATTGCGAAATAATCGTGACGTTCATGGGTGACAGGTTCCGCGGTAATTGCGTTCATTAGGTGTCGTTAAACTTGAATGATTCAAGTTAAGCGCAAGATGTTAAGGACCTTTCTAATTCCCGTCTTCGCGTGCCAGTATTAAAAATTTAACAATTTTACTTTATGAAGACATTCCGGTTTTTATAGCCACGAAAATTATAACGAAATTATTTTACACTTTACGGGATATATTATTATAGATTTTACTCGCTATAATAACTTTACTTTTCACGAAACTTGCGGTATACACTATACAGATTATAACTCTATAAGTTTTCTCGTTGAAACGTTTCCCCTTTTTTTTCTTCGATTTTTATCAACAGTATAATACGAACTTTTAATACGCGAGCCTTTCCATCTTTGATATCATACATCTTTCACTTAAAAAATTAAGCTCTTGGTAAATAAGATTCACTGAAGCGTAAATCGCTCTGAAACTAGTTTCCGATCTCCCCATGAGCACGAAAACTACCGACACCTCGACATCGAGAAACGGACCTCATTCTTTTGCCGTTTATAACTTCAGGGAAAGTGCGCGATTTCCGAGCAGCCTTGTATGTATCTACACTTGTATTTCTCCCTAACTGCCGGTGTATTCCGCGAAATCGGCTTCGGGAGATCGATTCTCTCTGATGTCGGGGCGCTTTTCCTCCCGGAATTTTTCATCGATGCGCCTGGCCGCGAGATCGATGCGCTGCGACGTGAAAACTCGCGCGTGAACCGTGAGAGAAAGAGAAAGCTGGCACCGCGCGCGGAAAGTTCGAGACTTTACGAGCGTTTTGTCGCGTATTTCGCCGTATCCTTGATCTCGGAGCCGAAGGCGAGGAACAAAATCTGGTGCGGAATCAGACCTGAGAGAGAGAAAGAGAGAAAGAAACGGAAAATGCTGGTTTATATTATAGTAGTAAAAAGCGCTTGCTCGGGGCAAATTCTCTCTGGAAGAATGGGAGAAAACGCACAATTATAAATTTAACAGCTCACATTGTGAACGATGAAAAGATAGATTCGCGTGATACGGCGCTATACGGAAAGCCGTCGTTAAAATGAAAAAAAAAACAATTTGCAACAAATCCGAAAATCCGAAGCGTAATCTCTTCTCGATCGGCCGGCGGCTCGCCAGCGAAATGCGACGAATCGCGTAAATTACTCTCTCGCGATTTCTGCATTACTCGCGGGAGAGTAATTGCGAATAATTTCCCACGTGGTTCCCGCGAATATATATACCGAGATTGGACCGTGGAAAATGGGAACGCGCGCGCGCGCGCGTGAACGCGGTCTTTTTTTTTGTAGCGAGAAAGTGAAGTGAAAATCATCCGCGAAAGCACGGAACTTTTGTATTAATAAAGTTACGAAATGCTTTAATATAACGCTAATGAACCGATTATCGAGCTAACGCCCGCTTATGAAACGCCACAATGGCTCGCTTATATACGTTCGATCCGCGTCTCCGCCTAGTCTAATGCACGCGATACTTCAACAGCGTAACGGAACGTAATGAGGATGCCATTGAGCAAAAATTAATCTCAATTTATTAGATCTCTAATGCAATTATGAGCATTAAATGTAAATGAGCCGAATGTAGGTACAGTAAAGCATAAATTAATGTACAAATGCGGCGAATGAATTACAATTCGTTATACGTAAATTTTAACCATTGTACAAGCAAACAATAATAACCCAATTTACTCTACAACAATTTCAATAGCGAATTAATTCGGACGAGCCAGGATTGTCTCTGCGAAACGAGAACGGAAAAAAAACATCTTCAAGCAAAAGAATCGCGGCTCTCTATTTCATGCACATTCTCACGCGCGCGCGCGTCTCCGGCTTGCGAAAGTAAAAGCGAGAAATCGCCGAATCCCCCTTTCGGCACGAAGAAGATCCCGACGAATAATCGAGAGATACGCGCGCGAGATCCAGTGCTCGCGACGCGTGCTTCCGCGGCGTGTGCTGTCGGCTCGGCGAAACGCGATTTTTTTTTTTTTTCAACGAAAAAACGGCAAATGTGCGAAGAGTTTCCCGAAACCAACGGATGTCCTTTCATCAATCTGGAAACTTTCGCACACGGCACATCGAGGCCGCGAGTAAACCACGAAGTGGCTTGACTCCTCCCCCGATCTCGCAGCGAGTTTCGCTGCGAACTGCGCGAGCGTCGATTTTGAGTGAAAAAAAAAAAAAAATGTAATCTTTCCGGAGGAGGATCGGTTCGCCTTTTATGTAAACGTTCCGCGATTGTATTTGTGAAGCGTCACAAACACCTCAATACTTTCTATCGTTATGGTCGTTGGCCTTTACCCGTTGCTCACAATCGTACGGCTCGTTTAACAACAATTTCCCGCGTGACTTATGACGAATCGGCAATTTGCCGAAGTTTAATTTTATCCCTGCGCGCGATTTCAATAAAGCGGCGATTATCGCACGACTGTATATAATTTTGTTCTCATAAGATTCATGATTTACACGTCCGCGGCGCGCGTTTAGTTCAGATTTATTAAAAATTTATTTATTATTAAAGGATTTTCAAGGAATTTTTTTTCTTTTTACTCTTTCAGACGGAACCACGTGGACGGTTCGGCGACGCGGAAGTGCCGCAGAGCTCCGCGGAAAATCGCGAGCGGTCGAGCGAGCCTCCTGTAGGCAAGTGGAGAAGCAACGGCGAGGCTCTCGAGCCCAAGTGGCGCGACGGCGACTCCGTGCCTCTGCTGCCTTTCTCTCATTACCGGTCCTACGCGAGGGACGAGGTCGAGGATGTTGAGCAGGAGGCCTCCTCACCGGAGGCGAGTCGCCGACCGTTCAAGTATCATTACGCGATCGATCAACCGGATCGTCCCCGAGGGAATACAGGCAGACGATTCCCGCCGGCGGACGAGTACGACGACCGCGAGGCCTCGTACCGAGGTCGGGACGATTACGAGAATCCCGACGAGGATTACCCGCGCAAGAGGCGTCGTCCGTTGAAAAGCACGCAGAGTCCGACTGCTCCGTTCGAGGAGACGATCGACAGCGCGGCGAGCAGCGACGGGAAACGCGGTCGTAACATCGTCGACAGTTTGCTGAACGACCGGGAGGCCACCTGGAGGTATCGCGAGGCCTTCCAGGCGCGTCCGAACGAGTACGAGCACGAGTTCAACGACGAGGAGTACCTGAGGCCTCGCCCGCGGAAGAGGCGACCGCCGCAGAACTACGAGTTCGCTCTGGCAAACGAGGCATCCTCCGACGACGGGGACGAGGAGCCGGGAGACACCGCTCGATATCCGCCGAAGGGCGACGGCAATCCTCCGGCGAAGGAGTCGTCCGACCAGGAGCGCGAGAAGGCGCTCGAGCTGAAGTCGCTTCTGAAGATGCAGCAGGAGGAGGGCTCGAGTCTGTCGGAGATACTGCAGCGCCGAAATCTGACCCTGAACGATCTCCTGAAGGGCAAGGCCGACGTGATCAACGCCCTGAAGTCGCGGATCGCCGACGAGTCCGACGAGTACATCGAGGAGATGTCGAGGGTGATGTCCGACTCGCTGATGAAGCTCGCCGCGACGGTGACGCCACCCTGGGGCTCCACGCAACCGTTCGAGAGTACCACGATAAGAATCACGACGACCTCGGGTGCGACTCGGGATGACTCTGCAGCGCAGACGGCGGCCGTCGCGGACGAGGCATCGAAGAGTCACGAGGAGGTTCCCACGAGTCGCGTTCGAGAAGAATCATCGCAAGACGCCGCGGAGAGGATGACGCAATCCGCGCACGAGTCCTCGTGGCTGAGAGCGCCGACGACTCCCCTGACGCTTTCGACGGTGATCACCACGTCGACGCCGCCGCCGGTCGCGGTGAACTCCGCGGAGTACTTTCTGAACGACGACGGGAACGCGGAATCGTCGAGCGACCGCGCGGAATCGACGAGGCTCGGGAGCCTCGACGAGGACGAGATCATGGAGTTCTCAGACTTCACGGACTTCAAGAAGGGCAAGAGCTCGGCGCCGCCGGTTTGGTCGAGCCCGCCGGGATCCGAGAGAATCGTCCCGCAGCCCCGCGACACCGTGTCCACTTTGAGCATCGAGCAGATTCTCAATCCCACGGAGCGGACGATCAGGCCGGCGGAGGGTCGTGGGAACGATCGGGATGACGACATCGGAGGCGATAATAACGATGGAAAAACGACCAGGGATAACGATCGAACGGTTTCCATCGGCGTGCCGACCGCGGAGGATTACAACACGTTTATCGAAGCCGAGTATCAGAGCGACGCTCCGGACGTCGAAGACGACGGGCAGCAGAGTAAGGATCACTCGAGTAAAATTGACGCTGTTGCGGGTCAGGCCGAGGGGAAACAGATCGCGAGTCCGGCTGATGACAGAAGGGAGAGGCCGCGCGACAAGAATCACTCGATCGAGTATCATCAGGTGACCCGATCGCCGGGAGGTCGCGATCGCGCGTTGGAGAATCACCGGGACACGAGACGCTACGAGGAGGCCGTGTCCGAGATCGAGCCGGAGGCGCGAGCGGAGATCTTCGAGCTGTTCGCGTCCGGCTCGGCCGGCAGGCGGCTGGAACGTCTTCTCAAGTCGCGGAACATGAGCGTGGAGGAGCTGATAGCCCTGCGTCAGCGTGGCTCCAGCAAGGTCCATCTGACGGAGGTGTCACGGCTGAGGATGTCCAAGCCGAAGAGCCGTCAAACTCTGGAGGGCTCCGACGCGGGCGACGGACGGATCGTCATCCCGCTCTCGTCCACGGGCAATTCTAACGAGCCTTACGACGAAGTTGCGTTCTCGGAGAAGAGAATCGAGGCGCAAGAGGCGATGAATCGATTCCGCGACATCATGAGCTATCTACACGATCCGTTCTTCGGCAAAGACGTGGAGAACATGTCGATGTCGAGACTGCTAGATCTCGCCGAGCGCGACAGAAACGCGCCGACGGAGGGGACGTATCCGGAGGACGACGACGACGAGCCGAACGGGAATGCCGGCGAACTGGAGAACTCCCGCCGAACGGTGCAGATCGTCGATTTGCTGACGACGTTCGATTCCCTGCCCTTCGCGAGGGACGTGCAGCGGCAGCGGGAGACCGAAGTCGACGGTGACGAACGCGAATCAAAAGTGAGGCTTGCGGTGGGCAACGATAACGCGAGTGTAGTGGTGATCAACGAGACGGAGAAGAGCCTTCGATCGGACAACTCCAGCGACGAGTTCCGCGCCGGATACGTCGAGGAGATCGTGAAGGAGGAGCCGAACGTTATCGATATAAAAACGGCGGTGTACGGCGAGACGGTGAGCGGCGCGAACGGCGGCGGCGGCGGCGGCGGCGAGGAGAGGAAGACCCTGTCGAAGGTGAAGCCGAGCATAATAGCGAGCGGCGCGATACTGGGCGTGACGATCGTCGTCTTCCTGGCGATCTTCGTCACGTGCCGAATTCGGCAGAAGCAGAAGTACACGTACAGGAACACGTTCTCCCGCGCGGTGTTCCAGGGCCCGGTAATGGCCGCGAGGAAGCTGTCGAACTCCAGCAGTTTGAGCGCGGTGATGGTGAACGTCGTCGCCACGTCGACGACCAAGAGGCCCGAGAGAACGGAGGCGCAAGACGAGGAGTTCGACAACAAGAGCGACATGGATAACGACTCGTTAGACGCGAACGACAGTTGGGAGACGATACCCGATTACGCGAAGTAACTCGTCGCCGGCACGATCGCACGGTTAGCCTATTGGTTTGGCGCAGAAGATTCGTTTTTTTATATCAGTCTCTCATTTATTGAATAAAACTGAAAAGTGTCACTTTTTAATCGTATTAATTTCATAGTAATATTTACTTGAAACGAAATTACATTGCTATTAAAATTGTATAATATTGTTTTTCCATCTCAAAAGTTTTTCTTATATTCGGAATCTTATATTCGGAATATTCATTATTTAAAATAAAAGATAACAGAGACGCGTGTAAATCTTTTGCGTCAATCTAATAGAAAATTGCCAGTATTTTTGCTTATCAAGGATGAGTTATCCCTAAGGCTGATGATGAATGTCTCGTCGCGTTATTTTATCGACAAGGAAGCAAATCAGTTCAATAGTTGTATATATGTATGTACTTTTCCAAATCACTCGGTACAAAAAATGTTGCAATTAAAATATACGGTTATATTATTTTCTAAATAGGATTTTCTAAGAAATGAAAATCTTTTTCATCGTGAAAATTGCTAAATCGTTTTGCTGAACTTCTACGTGTAGAAAATAAGTATGTATTTATTTATAGGTTTATATGTATATGTTGTAAGAGTTAAATTTTATATATAAATTGTAAATTTTACTCAACTATCGACCGATTTACCACCCATTGATAACCCATCCTTATTTAAAATTAATTACAATCTAATTGCTCTAATTACTCACCAATATCTCTCGTAAGTGAAAACGTCTCGTAGAATCGCTGAAACGTCATTGTTGGTATTTTGAAATACTTTGTTAAAATAGGAATACTGCCTCGCAATATTTCGGCATTGCTTCAATGCGGCCTCTGCAACAATAAAGAATAAAATCTTGTAAGAATATGGAAATATTGGAAACCATAAATATTGCAAACTACAGTGTATACTGTAAATCTGCAATAGAAATTCTCATTTACTATCGATATGAGATATAAAACTATTGTCTTTTATACTATTTTGTCAAAGTATAGTCAATCGTCAAGTACACAGCCAATGCATGGATAAAATATAAATATAAATTCTTTTTTTTACTTTTATAAAACATTGTAAAATAAAGCAACAGCAATTGTAAAAACAATTTCTTATGTACCTAATGTAGGGCTGCCTTTCAGCTCGATCATATCATTGGTCTTCATGTATAAAACCGTATTGTAACTGCTTGGAAGCATATCCAAGTAGGGCTTCCACTTGGAGTTCTCCTTATATCTCTCCACGAGAAGCGCAATGGCCAACGCCACTTGCGGCATGTGCTGCACCAGCGGGTCGTTTTGCAGAACGGCCAGCTCCGACGCCGCGCTGTACGTGCTGAAGATGAGCGCCCTGGGTATCTCCAGGATCAATTGGTTCTCGGCGAAGTCGACGTCCGCCCTCAGTCCGAGATCGTATCCCGGGAACTCGGCGACGCTCAGGCCGTCCACCCGCGCCCCGTTCTCCGTCAGCCAGTTAACAAATTGTCCAATCCCCTGGGATCGCTGGGACGACAATTCCGTCTTCATCTCCTCCAGACGTTTAACCTTCAGCAGAACTTCCGATATATCCAAGTAGTTGTTCCATGACTGCGTCACGTACGCTGGGTTGCTGCTCACTGTAAGCGCACCCGAAATAGCATGTGAAAACAAATAATTGTCCCCAACGATAACTGCAGAGCAGATTTCGATCGCAGTCGGAAATATGAGAAAGCATGGCAGTGTGAAATATATGTAAACGTACCAGTGACTGAACGTGTATCTGAACAAGTACGCAAAACAAGTACACAAAAATTTATTTTTTCTCATAATATTAGAATTTAATTGTAATCTTTAAATATTTTTACAATTAAATTTTGATTTATAATTTAAAAAAAAGCATTTGCGATTAATAAATTTTGTGTACATGTTCAGATATAGATACACGTTCAGTCACTGGTATGTGCGTTTACCTAAAAAAAACCCTTGACACATGTTTGCTCTATTTCTTCTCCAGTTTTAAACTCTATATTCATTCATTGCCAAAACGCGATCCAAAAATCCAAAGCAATACGAAATCTTTTTCGTGGGAAACGCGATGGATCTCTGTTCCGAGAACGGATCGGCGGAGAACGTGTCGCGCGGAGGGTCCCCGATGACGAACGTGCGGGGATACTCACGATGAAAGAGTTTCTCGCACAGGACGTTGAGCTCGTTCCTCTTCGCCGCGGATATGTGCCGCTGTTGCTGCGGTGCAGGTGACGGGCCCGGTTGTTTACCCCTGGACGATGCATGAGCCTTCTTCCTGCCCATTTTTGGTCTACTACCTCACGGCGCTCGCGTGGCTCCCCTTCGCATGCAGATGCATTATAAAACGCGTAAGCGTCGCGCGGCGCCTACACGATGGACACAGTCCTCGCCGCAACGAAAATAGCACGTACGGACGGCCTGCGTGCGACGCGGCGGCTCCTCCGCGGATTTCGTAACACAACGCGCGACATAACCTCCAAACTTCCGGAGAGAGGCGCGTGCCGCGCGGCTACCGTCGTCGCGCGCCGCGAGACTCTATTGATTTTCCAATTTCTGCCAAGGGGTCACCCACTTTCGCAGTTACTTTTTACCCGGCTGGATCACCCTCGATCATCCCTTGTTCCCACCGAATTACACAGCCTTAGCCGGAACGGTCCCGGAATACGTACGCGCCGTCGAGATCAGTCGGGCCGATACTAACTTTGAGAATTTCATTCAATGCCTTCATATTTAATGTCTTCGCTAAAAATCAAAGAGTTTGCTAAAAATCGATGCGCAATCGTTACATGAAAAATTCACACAACATAAACTTAATCGAAATATATAAGTGATATATATATATATATATATATATTAATATATATATATGCGAAAGATTGACATCCGCAATTTTTAAATGCGCGATAATTTTGAAATCGCGAATGTCCCACACTTTGCGATTTTAATTTCGTTTAAATTAGGATTATGTATAGTATAAATATATGATTTATGTGAATACAACGAAATGATGTGTATTGAATGAACGACATTACTGAACTAAATTTTTTTTATGTATTACGTATATGCACTGTACGTGATCTTTGTTTCATACGTGAGGAGGTGGTTCCCAAGTTACAAATACACTAATAGATACAAACATGTGTATCTATTAATCCACGTATAACGAATTATATACAAAGCATTGTATTTAATTTATATATTATTGTTAAATATTATTTTTATATTTTTGTATTGTCTTTATAAAAATTATATATATATTTAAATGCAATTTTATACATTAATGTATGTATACATATGTTTATACATACACAGATATATGTATATTATATTCATATAAAATTACACACACACATATATATATATATATATATATATATAATGTACGTAAATATATGTATATATACACATGTTAATATATTTAAAAGAAAAAGAATAAATTTTCCTTAACTTTTCATAAACATTTAACGTTTACAAATTACATTAATGTAAAAATTATTTGTTACACGTAATTCTGTAACATAAAATCCACTTAACATGGATAAATTATCGGAGTTATAACAAAACGTAATACAATAAAATATAGTGAATCTGAATTTTCGCGCTGCAAAGCAAGATACAAATAAAATCATATATATATGTTATGTGTGGTATGTGCGTGTGATACAATAAAGTACATACATTGTGCACTAAAATGTTATTTGTAAAATTTAAAAGATTTATTGTTGATGAACGATATAAATTTTAAAAAAACGTGCTATAATAAGTATATTTATGAATATACATGTGCATGGGATTTGTCTGCAAAATAAATTACGGTGGTATTACTTACATAATTTTTAATATGTTCAATTTATATTACTTAAACGCAAGTTTTGCGCATCTATAACATGATGCTTTTTTTGTTATCTCATGGTATAAAATATAAATCTCTTACTCTCTCTCTTTCTCTCTCTCTTTTCCCAATACATTTCTTTTAAGAGAAGATAATACCAGGGTAAGCAAAACAAAACAATAAGTTGTGTCTCATTAAGAGTATAGAAGTCATTATTGAAAACTTACAATTATACACATTTTTTTGTACTCAATATATATCAATCAATGAATATTTTTGTAACAGTATATTTGATTATGTATTGTGCAATGAAATAAGTATATTACACGTTCTACACTACCCCAAATTTTGCCATAGTTTCTTTGCAGCGGAAAACTCGTATTCTAAACATTAAAAGATACATTACAGATAGTCACAATATTATATGTATATAGCATTATTTTATACAGTCTAATCTCTAGATAGAGCCGAATACAGATCGCGTGATCTTGTACTTTCTGTTATTCCAATATACGCTCGATGTTGTGTAAGGTAAAATTATAAATTTAACTACTTTCGATACTGGTTATCATCTTGTGTAGATATCCTCATAAAAGAAGATCAATGCTTATCAGCATTGGAGAGTTAAATAAAACGATTCTTTCCGCTGGCAAACCTCCCTTTTTGCCTTATTAATGAATATAAACATTAATATTTTATAAACATTAATAATTCTTAGCATAAAAATCCAAAACATTCACATACTTGCATGTTCAATTACTTTCAACGCAGGTACACATCACAGCAACTCCGATAGTACGAATCTATGTTTATTTCCACTCCGTTCAAGAAAGTAAAATCATGAGATATATATATATTTATAAATATATATAAAAGTCAGAATTTTTATTTGATTAAATTAACCCGTTACAAGGGTACCAGCTTGTCGTATCATGTTTGCCATGTGGCAAAAGATGGTGCGTGTGATACATGGTCCCACGTATTTATCACAAAAATACTAAATATACCGCAGTGTGTACCGATACGTTGCGAAGGATTTTTCATTAATCGTTGAAGATTATAAAACTCATAGTATACACAAATATATAAGTTATTATTCTTCATCCGAAAAATAGTAGATCGAAGAGTAGGAGCGCGCAGACAGTGTGCAGAGTCAACTTTACAGAAATCTCCAACTGTCGCAAGTGTCACTTCAATTATATTTGTCTCGTCCGACTTCGTACCAGTATCACCCCCGTTCGTTTCTACTGCGTGGTGGTATCGGAAATGCTTTGCCGCCACGTGGCGTGAAAGGGAATTTTCAAGATCTTGACTCGCGTCTTGGGCAACGCGGTTAGGAGCAGCTTCTGCAATTGCGGCAACGGTAAAATGTCCACTTGCGGACTCGTTAGATGTGGCTGTTGCTTATCGTCACCTGTAAAATTGTTAAATAACGTTTCACACATTTTAATCGTAGAGATTATTACTCCTGGGGAGATAATAATGTTAATCAGCTAGATGATACTGCAACTAGCTCTACAACTCGATCTGTACCTTTTTGGTTCTCGTTCTCATCCTCAACGTCCGCAATTAATTTTAAGCAGGGGACAGGTTTCAAAACTGGTATAGAATCCCCAGTAACCTGTTTGTTCATGAGATTGCACTGATCAACAAACAGTTCCGTAACCCTGAGTAACTCGAGCGTAACGCCCCATATGAAATGCGTCAAGTTGTCTGACAATTCTGTGACACCTCCGAGCACCATGTTGTTGGACGTCGCCGACTGGGATATGTAAGTTGGTATGATCAATAACCTTTTAATGTTTTTGCAATTAGCAAGACATTTATCAAAGCCATTCTTGACGTCAAAATTAACCAGCTCCATCTGACTTAAGTTCTCCAGTTTTGATACGCCTTCAAGAATATCAAATGTACAACAAGATCCTTGACCTTTTTCAAGTCTAAGACGTTCCAATTTATTTAAATTAATTAGAACGGTAGTTCCAAACTTGTCAGGAAAGTCTGAGCACTCGCCCAATTCTAACGTTTCCAAATTTGTCAACGTTTGTATAACGTCGATTTTTTTCTTTCCAAGTTCTTTAACCGATGTTAAACTCTGTAAGAGAAAAGTGATATTTTATCTTCTAATATTACGTAACATTGAATAGCGAAATGTGTAAAACAAAAATATCATAATAAAAATTATGTTGGAGAGACAGAGAGAAATTCTTACCAATTGTGTCAAGTGCTTCAGATCCTGTAAAGGTGTGAGATCCTGTTGTAAGGACATTCCAGATATTGCTTTAAGTCTGAGTTCTTGACATCGACTCAAGTTCCCGATCGACTCCAGCGTGAGGAACTCGCACTTGATCGACATTGCACTGAACACCTCCAATTGCGGACAGGTCTTAATAACTTCTTCTACAACCGTGACGGGACATCTGCATAGCTCGAGCTTCACGAGACTGGTCACGCGTGGTATGACTGTCAAGAATTTCTTCCAGATGCCGTCGGACTCGCCAGCAACCAGCATTTTCCTGAGATCTAGATGCTGCGTGCCACGTCTCTGTAACGTATCCGCCAAACCGTCCCAGTCAGTTACTTGACTGTTCTTCATTCGCACGGTCTTCCATAGTGACGGATGTGCTGCGAGGTCACGCCACATTTTACAAACTCGCGCGGCTCGCAATAACTCTTGCACTTTAAGGTATTGGAAAATACGCAGTAGGGCATGATAACCGGCGCAAACTGAATTCATGAAATTTTGCTGTTGCTCCAATTCCTGTTGGTTTTGCTTCCGCCTGAAAATAAATTGAAAAAAAAAGTCTTAGAAAAATCTGACAGTTATGTTTGTGGAAACGCTTATATCGTGCATCGGAAATGCAATTTTTATTTGTTAAAATTTATAAAAGAGACAAGAGTTTATTTTTTTCAAAGAGGCTTTTAAAAACGCAATGATTAAAATTTATACGTTCCATATTATGATTTTCGATATAAAAAGCCTCTAATAAAAATAATCTCTGATCGAGAATTTATATGTTCCTATCAAGAAAGTAACAAAGATTTAAAACAAAGAAACAAATATAGAAATAAAAAGGACTGGGAATTTGGAGGAAAAGGAGTGTGTGAGTATTTATAGGAAAACGCACTAAGAGTTTTTGTTTCAGCTCGCACACATGTCTTTATATCTGCAAATATAAAAAGTAAAAATGAATTAGATTTTTCCCACTGAAGCACTTATCAGTAACTTTGTAATTGCAGCATGAATGTAAACATTCATATTTTATACATAAATGTGCATTTTCAACATTGAGTAAAATTAATGAAAATTGTAGAAATTAATTTACCTTGATACTACAATTACATAAAATACCGTGACAATCAACGGGTACGCCGCCTCTTATTTATGTTTTACACTTGTAAATCTGGCCGCATTTCTAAGAAGCTAAGGCAGTGTGCTTCGGCCATAAGATAAAATCAAATTCATTTTTAAGTTGGATTTTTATATTTCCAAATATAATAAACATCAGCATGTATATTGCATTTACAATTTTATATCACTTTATTTACAATATAAAATTGGTAATCAAATATCTGTCGTCATATGTGTTGCTACAGATAAAATAAGACTCTAATGTACAACCTAAAATGTTTCACAATATAAAATCTCTAAATGTACAGTTTGTCAAGCTTGTTTTATAGCACGTAAAAAAATAAAAGAATATAACATTTAATTAGATAAAGCGTGGAATATTGTAGAAAGATGTCCCCTTTTATTAAACTTTGTAAATACAATACGTACACAAAGCAACTGCCAAAACCTCAAAAGAGAGTTGCCGTAACTTAAATTATTCGAAAAAAAAAATATTCTATATAAGAAATAAAACAAGAATGCCTATGCGTTTTAAGTGCATACACTTACTTGCTACTTTTTATTTTTATTACTGTATCCACTTTACTTGGTAACGACTGTTGTCGATCCGTTTTAATTTCCGTTTCAGCTTCTACACTTGCTTCAAGAGCATTTGTGATACTTGCCGTATGTACTGGTGAATACGTAGATTTGCTCTCAGGTGATCTACAACTTGTATCTCCGGTTTTTCTCTCTGAGTCAGAATCTATATTGGCAGTAAAGGATTCGTTCTCTAATATATTCTCAACGGAATCGTCTCTCTTAGGAGTACTTTTACTATCCTTATCTTTATTGTCATGTATAAATGCGTCAGTTATTTCAGTGGTAACAGAAGATACAAGATCTGTCTGATAAATTGCATCCTTCGAAATTTCTTTATCAGATGTAATGTCTACTTTTTCAGACGAATCAGTATTTAAGGATGTAGGTGTGCACGAGTTCGTCGCAGAATTATCTGCAGTGTTATCGGTAATATCGGTAAGCGGACCGTCCTGAAGCATTGGCGGCTTATCGCCAATTTTGTCTGGTTTTACCGTTATAGCAGGTTGAACTGCCATTGCGTTATTTTTTGGTACTACAATGTATCTTTTGCCGCCCATTACAGCGATATTTTGAGCCGGTTTCGGTATGGTACCATCGTGACTTTGCAAGAATTCATTCTCCGTCTGAGGGAACCAAGTACTTTCCTTTTTGTCCACCGTTGAGGGTGAATTTGATGAAGACGGTATTTTGGAAGAATTTCTCGTTTGCGCTTCCGCACTCTCGGACTTTGGAATTCTTTGCAATTTTGGAGGAGACGAATTAGTCTGATGTTTTGATTTTGCATTTTGTGCACCTAACATACTGATTGGAATCAATGGAGGTGGTGTTAAAGACGGATTGTTTGGCATATGAGATTCTTTAGTATCCGGCTGACAATTCTATAACAAATTTATTCTTGTGTAAGTATTATAAAAATGTAAATCATTTTAATATTAAAATTCAACTTTATCAAATTTCATTTTATATATATTCAAAGGGCAATTCTTTAACTGAGGGCAATTTTTTTAAGTATTAAAAAATATTTTAATTTTAAAATAAGAAATCTATAAAAATCTATAAAAAAAATACATCTAAAGTAAAACAATCATGTATATATATATATTTACTTTAGATATATTTTAACGACAGCAGAGGATTAAAAATTTATTATTGAAATTCTTTAAACTGTACCGTACAGTAAACTAACTGTACCTACCTTGCAGACATACTCATCATTGCCTGCAAATTCCATCCCATCGACGCATTCAGGATGATATAAACAGAGACAAACTCGACATTGCAAACTTGGTATTAATCCCATACTCGTCGAACATCTTATGCTGCATGGCTCTTGAACTTTGGGCCTATAAGACGTGCGTTGACGGGGAAAGGGATTCAGGAAAAAACATAAGATTCCCGTTAAGGACATAAAATAGGATCAAAGGGAAAAATAGTTATGAAAATTATAGACATAATGAACATCTCTCTCATGCAGCAACTTTTGTACATACATATTATGTATTGCATACATTTTAAAATTATATCCCATATAATGATCCACATAATTTAATTTATATTTGCATATGCAATAAAATCTATGGATATGCACAAATTTTGCGCTTTATACAAAATATTCATATATTATTTTACAATTTCTAACTATATAATAATTAAAAAAAAAAATTTTATCTTCTCAATGTAAAATAAAATACTGTATCATAAATATATGTATATTAGCCTGTTAATAATTAAATTAATTGTACTAATAATTGATTGTAAATACTATGCATAATTATGAGTTTTCAATTCTTTAATATGTTACATCAAAAAGATTTTTACTCTCTATATGTATTTTATATATAATTAAAATATTCCTTCCCATTTCAAATTAAAGAGCACATTATAGTATTGAATATCTAAACATTTAACGTGTTTTATTTCATGGATATTTCAATATATTCTCCTTGTTAATTTTTGATACAAATTTCATAATCTTAATTAAATCACTAATATTGAAAGTAACGCACTAAATATATAAAGAATTAAATATACTCACGTTAACAATCTTTTGGTTTTGACTGGTATAACCTTCTCAGCTGCTTGTTGGTTTCTCCTCGTATTTGCTGTACTCCGTGTAGGTGGAAGCATCTCACTTTCCTCACCTGGTGTTTTTATTTCTGCTATGCAAATTTCAGAATAAATTCATAAAAATATGATTTTGTAATATAAAAAAAATACTCTTTTATAAACAATTATTCATTTTAAAGTTGTAAGATGAAGAAAAATAGTAGAAAAATCT